TTATATTTATTATTCCTTTGACATATTTGAATTATATTGTACTATATTTAGCATCTATTTTTGCCTTTGTTCATAATATTTAATGACAAATCTGCATCCATTTAATTAACCTTATAACTGGAGCATTGTGATTTTATTAACTTAAAAGAATGGGCAGAATAAAATGTAGTCAGTATGCAATAATGTGTTTCTTCTTGATTTAAGAGAATTAATAGGAACAAGAAAAGAGATGAGCAGATAATCACCCATCAAGTTCTTTGACATCTTGGCCTTTTGTGGAATTTAAGCTGCAAACCAGAGATATTCTCAGGACAGAGATGTTAATTAGGTCAACAACCAACAGTCAGCTAGCTACAAGCCCAAGAAATGTGGGACAAAAGTCAATTAAACAATGGTGGGAAAGGTAGGAGAAAGAAGCACCAGAATTGGACTTGACGAAAGGCAGTCAATTTTTTGGGTGGCTGCTTCCTAGTATGCAATTAAGATTCTTATCTAATTGTGTGCTGTTATTTGTCTGAGAGTCTAGCTGAGTTCAAACCTAAGAATATAGGGTTGGGTGTTGTTGTTTTTTACTGCTGTTTTGGGATAAAAGAAAAAATCTTAGAAGAATTAAAACAGAAAAAGAAAAGGGAAGTACTATTATATGTTAATTGAATTGAATTCTTTATTGTCATTGTATGTATATACACAGTATACATACAACAAAATTCATATAAAACCCAGAGACCAGACCCAATATGCATACACACATGACAATCCCCAAACACCCCCCAACACCTGCTAAAATTCCCCGCCCCTAAAAACATACAAGCATCCATACAACAGACCAACAGCTCGCTGATGGTGGTCCTGAAGTTCATTGTTAATTGCAATTATAGCTCTGGGATAAAAATTGTTCAGAAAATAATGTTGATTCAAGCAAGTCTCTTAGTACTGACTATACTGCCAATCAGACATCTTTAGATAAGGCATGGTTACCACTTTGGAAGCATTTTCCTATTGCTCATTAAAAAGATTTATCAGACACCTTTATGCTATCACAGATCACTTAGAACATTCGTCAGTTCCAGCACAAAGGAGCTGAAATGTTCTACACTCACCTAGAAGTGGCATAGAGACTCTACTGAATCCCATTTAGTTTCTTATGAAGAAATGCTCCTTGGAGCACTTTCTGAAAAAGTTAGATTTATATTGCTGATAGGAATATGCCAATTTGTCTCTTTTTTCATCTGTTGCCACTGTTAAACAGCAAGAGAAAATGAAAGTGGGGGAAAAGTTGTATGTGCATTAAATCTCATGCAGTGGTAAAGTCTACAATCTATGTACAAGTGCACACCTTCACTGAATCCAATGATACTTATACCTGAATATGGTTCATGTATTCAGATATAAGCATAATTGGATTTAGTGTTTCTTCCTTAATACATTTCTGTAGTGTATATGCATGCATTCTAAGCCAGCATACAAGGCACCTCCGGCAGAGTGAATGAAAAGAAAAATGAAATTATTTGGGATGAAATTGAAATGAGACGATGCCAAAAAGAGAGTTTTACAGGAATGATACACTAAAAGGTTGAACTCAAAGGTATGTTCCTGGGAGCCTCCTCACTGATGGACCCTAGATCACGACTCTCTATGGCTATGGTCTGTGCTCTTTCGTTGGAGAGCCCTGATTATTACGATTAGGGGCTGAAGCTGCCTTGGAGGGGCGGCGGAGTAAGGGGGAGCCATAAGCCAGGTTGAGGGGAGCCGCATCTCCCCCCCGGGCTTGGTCTTTTTTCCCCCAAAGATGACCGCAGCAGTGGTTTAAAATGGCCACCCCGAAGAGGAGGACTCAGCTGGATTAAGATTTATGCAGGAGGGAAGAAAGAGGTGGATAACATCTGAACTGGGACAACTGGGCAATACAGCTAAACAAAAGTACCCCGGGATTAAGGTAACATGGAATTTTTTAAAAAAGAAAAGTGAGCGGTGAAATTACAAAGGGACAAGGAAAAAAAAAAGAAAATATTTTTGACAGCTAAGTGGGGCTTCGAACCAGGAAAGGAAGAAGCTGGAACTAAAGATTTAACTAAATTGAACTAAAATATTTTGGCAATAAACAGGCATAAAATATAGCTGGACTTAAGATTGTCAAAAAATAATAATAATAACATTTACAAATTGGAGACTGGACTGTGCTGGAATATTGAGGTTTGAAAAACCCTAAATAAAAAAATAGGGGGAAAAGGTGAAGACTTTGTATAATGGAGAGTGCCACCTTTTGACAAAAACTTGAGCTCAAACAAAAGGGAAAGCATCCTGTTTCTGAATGAACTTGTGTGGATATAACATTAAAGAAATATTGAAACAAAGTAAGAATCTTAGAAAGTGAAAGCAGAACCAGAATAAAGAAAAAAGGAAAGACTGTGGGATTGATTGATGTTTTTGGTATAGACCCTAGGCTGGAATAACTGAGAACTTTAGAAAATTGAAAGAAGAAAGAAGGAAAGTAAAAGTGGGGTTTTTTTTGTGGACTTTAATGATCATAAAATATAAGAGTGTGTAATGATGATATCTCTCCGGGAATTAAAAATGGAACTTAAAAATATGAGAGAATTACTACAGGAAAGAGGCGAATCACTTTGCTCTGTGTTAGAAAAAATGGAAATGGTGATTGAAGAACAAGAAGAAAGAGCTTCAGAGGAGGAGGAGTTGATTCAATTAACACAAAGAACACTACAAAGAAGTGAGGAAAGAAGGAAGGTTCAAAAGTTGAGACTTAAGAAGGCAATCAAAAGGGGGAATACCTGTGAAGTCGGGAAAGGCAGAAAGATCCAGCAGAAAAGCGGAAAGGAAGATATTAAGAAAGAGAGGGATATAAACTGGAATGAGAAAAGATATGGGGAAAAGAGGGAGAGGAGAAGCAGTAAGAAACAGGTGCATGAAATAAAGAAATATGGAAATAGTAAAATGTTGAAAAGAAATTGTTTTTTCAGAGATAATGGTTGATGAATTAAAAAGGGGATTCTGCAGGGTGACAAGGGGTAATAAGAATATTTCTGCAACTAAAAATATTTAGAAAATAGGGTAATATAGATACTGATAACTCTTATTAAAAATTAAAGGGGGCATATTTTATGCTGTGGAATCCAAATGAAAAGATGTAATGATTATTATTGTAACTTCTTAAAAATAATGGTTTATTGGGAATCAAGATGAGGGAATAAAGGTATTTTTTAATCATTGAGCTGTCACACTCAAAACAGTAAAAGGGGGGAAACCAATACTTGTTTGTTTGTTTGTTTGTTTAGTGTTAAAATGTGTATTAATCTAGAATTTATAAAAAGAATGTGTAATGGAAAGGGACTATGACAGACTAAAGAACCAGCTAAATTAATAAGTTAATATAGACTATTAAAAGCGAGGAGAGACATTGGTAACTTTTTATATTATTATTGTTGTTGTTGTTGTTAGGCAAACACATATTGTTTATCTTTATTTTTAAAATAAATATTAAAGGATTATATTTGAAATAATTGAAATGAAACAAAAAGATGTTTCTATTGAGATCAATGAAAGAGGCTAGAATTAATGTGTTTGTTTCTCTCCTTACTGATAATTTGGAATGGAAAAGGTAATAATAGAATTAAGTATACATATATGAATTTATAATTGCTGTCATATTTGTATGTAAAGGTGATGACCCGGAAATATGCTGTCCACTAAAAAGAGATTTTTGTTTTTAATGTGAAAAACTGAATAAAATTTGTTAAAAAAAAAGGTATGTTCCTGGAAATGCACAAGAAAAAGATAGCGGAAAGGGAAGTCGTAAAGCCTGTAAGAAAGTTTCACAAATGGTAAACCTGAAGATGAAAAGAAGAAGAAGACATGGTCTGCTTTTGGAATAGCAGCCCAAATATTAAAATTGGAATGATACACACACAAAAAAGGATGTGCACATGAACACTGCAACATTGGATCTGTGCCTGAGAACAGGACTAATGTCCTTATTGTTCTGTTCTGCAGAGGGAAAAGTAACAAAAGTGAACGCAAAAATTACAGCAAGATTCATTGAAGTTTCCCAGAAGTAGGTTTGGCAGAATTCTGATTAAAAGTGGTCAGAAATGGCAATAATGCAAAACTGGGAAGTGCTTTACATCAGACAGGGTTGTGCAGACCAATTTTTTTGCTCTTCAGCAGATCACTGGAAATAGATAAACATATGAAAAAAGGTTTATTGCACAAATAGAACAGAAAAGAACAGAGCTGGAAGGGATCTTGGAGATTTTGTAGTCCAGTCTCCTAGCTCTAGCAGGAGCTAAATTAATTTAATTTAATTTTAATTTTGTTAATTTAGACAAAGTAGTTCTGAATTAAAGATTTTTTTGTGCAAATACACAAAAGGTTTGGTTACTGAATGTGATCAGAGAGGCATAAAGGGAGATTAAAATGAGAGTAACTGGAATGTCTAGCAAATTATTAAATTCTGAACAGGAAATGGATCAAGGATATGTAATGTCCCCATGTTTGCTTAATGCTTATGGAAAGGAGAGCTATTAGTCATAGAGAAGGGAGGGAAGGAGAGACAGAGAGAGAATTTTTCAAAGAATACATTCCATTGGTTTCTATATTGCTTGCTTATTTGTTTGTTGACAACAGGGAGATAATTGGTGTACTTTTCTATATTTGTATACCAAAAACATCCACCATCTTTCTAGGATGCCTCCCCTTAGAGAACTTATGTGGTGTTAACTTTGTTCCTAGCTTTGATTCAGAAATGAAAGAACTGCTGAAGCTGTATTGTGATGCCACAGTGATGTAAGATGTCACAATGCTGACTTAGGTGTATGCAGACCCTCTCATTCATTGATTATATTGATGCTGGACATCTTTTTCTTTTGAAGGAGAATAGTGAAAATAAAATTGGAAGGGGCTGGGAAGCTTCTCATCAGCAATTCTTGGTTATTCCACCTGAGTATTAACAATTACTAGTGTAGCATTTTTGAACTTCTTGCCAAATGGCTCACTACAGGCATTTTTATGGGAAAAGAAAGAATCATGCAGACTTGTTTCGTATCTCTTCGTTTGTTCCTGAAACGCCAAGTTCAGATAAAACAGCATGTCAGTAAGTAGAAGCTGATACAACCAAAATAAGTTTGGAATGGGCAAATGGATGGGAAAGGAAATCCTTCTTGGTATGGGTAGTCCTCAACTTACCATCACAACTGAGCCCAAAGTTTAGGTTACTGAGTGAGAAATTTGTTATGTGAGTTTTGTCCCATTTTGCTACTTTTCTTGCCACATATGTTAAGGGAATCACTGCAGTTGTTAAATTAGTAACACAGTTGTTAAGGAAATTTGATTTCCCCATTGACTTTGCTTGTCAGAAGATCGCAAAAGGTGATCACATGACCCCAGGACACTGCAACTGTCATAAATGTGAGTCAGTTGTCAGGCATATGAATGTAAATCACATGACCATGGGGATTCTGCAACGGTCATTAGTGTGAAAAATGATAAGTCACTTTTTTCAGTGTCGTTGTAACTTCAAACGGTTACTAAGCGAACTATGTAAGTTGAGGACTACTTCTATTTGCTCCAATTTGCTTCTATCTAGCATGTCTGTTAGCAGATACACCTTCTTCAACTTAATACCATTACAGAGTGTTCAGCTAAACCCCTTTAGTTTTAGATAGTATGACTAAGGATGATGGGGAATGAAGTCCAGCACACTGAAGAGAACCAACTTGAGACAGGCTGTGATACAAGATTCCAGGCATTTCATAGGATGTGGATTATGTTTTACAGCAGGGGTGAGGAACTATAGCCCTTTTATGACTTGTGGACTTCAATTCCCAGAATTCCTGAGCCAGCCATGCTGGGAATTGAAGTCCACAGTCATAAAGGGGCCATAGTGTCCCACTTCCGTAGAGCAGGGGTCTCCAACCTTGGCAACTTTAAGCTTGGAGGACTTCAGCTCCCAGAATTCCCCAGGTGGCTGGGGCATTCTGGGAGTTGAAGTCTGCCAGGCTTAAAGTTGCCAAGGTTGGAGACTCTTGCCATGGAGCCTAAGCAACTTTTAAGATAGGTGGATTTCAACTCCCAGAATTCCTCAGCCAGTCCTGGAAACTCTGCCTCAGAGTTTTTCCTTTTTAAGGTTGAGGCCACACTTTCTGTTTTGAGATATGTGCTCCCCTGACTAAAGGAGGGTCAGACTTAAATTGTATTTATTGTCATTTAAATGCAAATATTTAACAAATTCAATTAGTGTTTAACTATTCAGTACAGTTAATATGATTATTCAGTACATGTTAAAATTATAATTTGGTAGCAAGCTTTGGAGAGATTATGCCGTAAGAGGGCTTTCTTTGCACCTTAACAGAATGAATAAGGCAAAGACATCTCATGATATATGTCATGATGACTGGGCCAACTCTTCACAAGATACTGTTTCCATCTACCTAGCAAATGTCCCACTTTCAGGTGAAATAAAGTACATGATAGTAAAAGAATAGAGGACAAAATTTTCACTTGTTTTTGCATGGGATGCTATACTTCATGTAAAAAAATGATTGTATCCTTTTGAGAGGGAGGCAAAGTTTTACCTGTGCAGCTTTCCTTGGTATGGCATTGATGATACCTTTTTAACTTTTAGTTATCTGCTATCAGCTCCCTTTGTATCTCTGGGAGGACTTTCACCATCTGAGAAAGAAATAGCAAAGGTAAGTGTAATCTCTGGTGACAATGCTATTGAAAGAAAACAAGACACTGACTACTATAGAATATCTGCTCCAAATTAAGTTAATGTGTGGTGGACTGGCAATTGAAAAATGATGGGAGACGCAGGGAAGACGTCTGAGCAACTGCCAGCCCCGAGAGCCCTCGGGTAGCAGTATTTATTAAGAAAATGCAAATACAAAATCAAAACAATGACTTCAACATTAGCTCAGCAACATTATCTAGCTAGGCCTCAGCGAAGGTGATAAAGTTCCCGTGAGAAAGCAGGGCACCAAAGGTCTCATGGGAATGGCTCGGATAGGTACTGTGAACTCCCACACAGATTCCTGGTCTCTGAGCTTTAGCAGATCATAACAGGATCAAACTCTCATCATAAAGACACTACTGCCCTCATGAGGAGCGTTTGTGATACCCCCAGATCTTACAAAGCTGTACAAGAACTTGCAGAATATGATGGATATATTACCACATTAATGACATTGTACTCTCCTAAAATTCAATTGTTCATTTCTTAGCACTGCCTTAACCTGGACTGTTAGGATCCAGATGTCCCCTTACTTACCTGAGATTCTTCCATTAGAGTTATAAACTGAGGTGTACAGGCCACAGTGCAATTGTGCATATGATGCCATCCAGAGATTATCTGGGTTCAGATATTAAAAGCTTTATCATATTTATAATTGCACAATTATTTAACTTACATGAAGTAGAGATTCTACTATATTATTCCTATATATGTACAAGATTTACTAGCAAAAGCTAAGCTACAAGAGTATGTGCTTCGGTTAACTACTCTGTTGGAAAGAGCAAATATCATTCAGCCAATATTTTAAATCAATATTAAACATTTATTATCCTGTCTTTTAGCTCCCAACTCTCAATTCCTTGACTGATAGATCCCTGCATTTCAAGTTCCATTCCCTCAAAATTACAGAACCTTTTTCTTTACATTCAGGATTAGATTTTCATGAAATCCTGTTTCTTTCACTGCTACCTTCAGTTTTTGGTTTGTTTGTTTGTTCATTGTCTTTCTCCATTATATTTCTTGTCATCGAGATCAGTGGTGTTTAATAATATAATATTAAGCCATGGTTTGCTTAATTATGATTAATAATAAATCACATTTTCTGGGTTCAGACAATATGCTTAGCCAAAAATAAATCATATGGCTAGCATGATATATAAACCAGTTTTTCTCATCTCACTTCCCAGCAAGTTGTGCTTTGTTCCTCCCTATTTATTTCTCTTTCTAGATGAACTTTTTGTTAACTTCCCCCACACAGCTGCATAGCTTAGTAATATTTTATAGTTGACTTTTCCATGTTAAGAACTGGAATGCACATTGCCATTAGAGCAGGCAAAGCTCAGACAACATAAGGGAGATACCAGCATGTGTTTGAAATGAATGCCCTAGATCATCCTGCAAATATTATATTTCATACCGACAAAAGAAATAACAATGAACAGATGGAGACTGCCATGATTTTACAAAAGAGGCAAGCCTCTTGCCTTCTGGATAAAGAAGCTCAAGAAAATGGTTAAGGGTGCTACTGCCATAAATTGTCTATATATAGATTTCTCATTTGAAATTAGAGTGTTCATTGGAATGCTTGTGTTGCCAACCTACCTTCTAACAACTGTTGATTACAGCTAAATCACCTTGTCAAGACATATCTTTGTTGCTTCACAAAGGTCTATGTCTAGCTTCCCAATGCCTTTCACCCACCCAATTTCACAAAAATTATCACTGAGAATTTTTGGCTCAGTTTTCATTTTCTAGAGCAGGGGTCTCCAACGTTGGCAACTTTAAGACCTGTAGACTTCAACTCTGGCTGAGGAACTCTGGGAGTTGAAGTGCACAAGTCTTAAATTTGCCAAGGTTGGAGACTCCTGTTGTAGAGTTAGGGGAAGGATGTGTTATTATGTAAGCCCTCTTACATAAAAGCACAGCAGACATTCCATTTGAAAATTTTTGGTAGTCTCAGATTTGTTTAACAATATTATAAAGAATTCACTTTCAATTTTTCTTCAGCGAAAATACAGTTGCCCAACAACTGTCATTATCTCCATCTGTCATGGCTGAAACATGAAGGGTGGGGGAAGTAGACTGAGATATCTGAATGGACCTTAATCCAGCAACTTGTTTCCAACACAGAAAACCAGTTTAATCTAAAGAAAATAATAAAATAAAGGCAAGAAGCAACACTCTATTTTACTTCTAGGACCTAACCATATTACCTCTGAAATTTGGATTTACTAATTATTTCCTTGATAGAGCAGTCAATCAATCTCCTTGGATAAAATGCTAAGTAGGGTAATGGGCTAAAAATGCTTTTGTATAAGATTTCAGGACCCATGAAACGACGTTTCTTCCGTAATCAAGCAGGACCCACCAATCGCTGTCAATTTCCGTTCACTTCATCCTGTGACTTACTAGGAATTTCACAGAGTGATAAAGTGAAGCAAGATGGCCTCCATAACAGCTTGCTGAAAATAATGACTGGTAAGGTGATAACTAGAAATACTGGCTGGGCTCAGATTCAATCAGAATGTTTTACCCTTCATTTGCTAACAAGTTATGATGCACGAGTTCATATACTATGTGAAGCAGAGAAGTAAAACATATAAAACATATATGTTTGTATATATGTAAAACATATACAGGTAGTCCTTGAGTTACTATAATAGAGCCCAAAATTTATTTTGCTAAGGAAGGCAGTTAGTAAGTGAGTCATGCCCCATTTTACCATCTTTTTGCCATGGTTGTTAGGCTAATAAATAACATGTTAAACAAAACATGCAGTTTTGTTAGCAAATCTGGCTCGCCCCCACTTGGCTTTGCTTGTCAAAAGCTGGCTGGAAAGGTTGCAAATGATGATCACATGACCTGGGATCCTGAAATTGTTGTAAATACATGCTCATTGTTCCCTAAGTGTGATCACATGATTTTGGAAATGCTGCAATGGTCATCTATGTGAAAACTAGTCATAAGTCGTGTTTTCTAATTCCATTGTAACTTTGAGCCATCATTAAATGAATGATTTTAAATTGAGGACTACCTGTAAAGATTTGGTGGAAAATGCTATTGTAATTATATACATTTTGAAAAATGCCACTGAACTGTCAGAAATCTATATAAAAGATCAACTTAAGACTAGATGTTCAGAAAGGAGGATCGGGAAACCACAGGCTAGTTAACTTCTGTGCCGGGCAAATCATCAGAACAGATTGTCGAGGCCTGCATCTATGAGCACAGGGCAAAGAATGCCCACATTACCAGGCATCCTTCTATGACAGAGTTACTAATTAGAAAAAGCAAAGGAATGCTGTGGACATAGTATAACCTGATCTTAGTAAAGGGCCAGGGAATCTCACATGACAGTCTTGTGAAAACATGGATAAAATGGATGAGTGATTCAGTACATTCACAGCTGGTTGAACAAGTTCACTCAATGGCTTCTTATATAATGATTGTGTATCGAGTGATGTCCCCTGGGGCTTCATCTTCTGCCTTGTGCTAATCAAGAGAATTGGAACTCATTTAGGGAAATGGAATCAAATGTACAGATAATTGCCAAGCTAGGGGAGTCGGCTAGCACCTCGAAGGACAACTTTGTTTATCTAAATTCATAATAACTCACAGTGGTATTAACAGAGTTGAACGTTAAAGTGGCGAGAATAAGTACATCAGAAAAGGAAAACAAAGACAAGAAATAACAGTACAGAATTGAGGAGATCTCATGTAATGCATGAGTGAAGAATTTAGGGGTCTTATTGGATAACTAAACATCGTGCACTAGGCCAATGGAACCTTAGAATGCAGCAATAGAAACATTATTTCAAGATAATGGGAGCTAATTGCTCAATTGTACTTTGTAGGGATCAAATCATACTGGACTATTGTATCCAATTCCGGGTATTGCAGTGAGGTGGTACAAAAAGTCAAGACAGTAACTACAACCAAGTGTTTGAATCACAGTCCTTTTTTATGTTGTAGATATCCCTGAGCTAGAGCAAAAAAAATAACTAGGAACAATAAGGGATACAGAAATAAAGTATGACGAGGAACTAGGGATATTTGCTTGTCTATACAAGGATTTGAAATTAGGTAGAAAATAGGAATCACATCTATAGACAAGTCCTTATGGCTTGTTTAGATAGCTCACTTTGATCATTCAGTTAACAATATCAAATTCCTGCCCTATAAAATGGAATTCCTCCTGGAGATTAAGATGGCCTGATCCTGCTTGCCTGACTTGTATAAGGTGCTAAAGACCTGGTTTTCTCCCCCCAGATCAGAAGGTCTTTTGAACCTGTCAAGATTTGTTGTTTTGTTGAATTGCTTGCTTTATGATTTTCTACATTTTATTTTTTTTAGGAATATTTGTCATTTAAATTGTACACTTCCTTGCATGTCAAGTGGGAAACCACAAAATTTATCAGATTTATTTGTCACCCATTCTGGGTCAAAGGAACTCTGGGCAGTTTACAACATTAATAACTATAAAACTGTAAAACAGAAATATTTCTAGGAAACAAAAACATAGAAGTACAATCAAAAGTAATTAGTAAATGGCCAAGCCAACTTTCTGGGTTGGCCATAAAAAAAGAGAACCATAAACTACCTACATGGCCTGAGTTTATATGTTATACAATGTGGTTGGTTGGTTCATGGTTCATTGTGCTGTAAAAATCCATTCATTCTCACCAATTTTCAGGCATTCAGCCTAGCTATCTGCAGGCAAACTTAAGGATTCCGTTAGCAAAGAGAATGGTATAAAGTAATATTGAAGAAACACAAATGCCTCTCCCTTTCAGATCATACAGTTGAATTAATGGCATATACAGTAAATATTGGTGCTACCTGATAGTTACTGACATGCTTCCTTGCATTTTTCTCCCCAATTGTTCAGTGGATAGCTCTGTGCCTCTGGGGGAAGAATTCGGGTCCTGGAAAACAGGTGCAGAACTTCTCGATGAATCTAGTGCCCAATCTTTTGCAAATATGTGTCCACAAATTAAACCCAGACCCAGGTAAGAGTCAGAAGTAGTTCTTTGTATAATCCTGCATCAAATGATTCAATATGGAAATGATTAATAGCTTATTTCTGGCTTATAGATGCTGAAGAAGGTAATATACCATATATGCAAGTGACCAAAGATTAGGGTTCCATTATGCTTAGTAGTAAGAATATACTTCCTACTTATATAGATAATATATTGCTAAACATTGCCAAACTTCTGCTCTTCTAAATAGACATTTTGGAATTTGAAACATGGGCAGAAGGAAGTTGGGAAAATTTCATATGTCAGTGTTTTTCAAACTTGGCAACTTTAAGATATTTGGATTTCAACTCCTGCTGCCTGGAGAGCTCTTGGAATTGAAATCCACGTGTTAAAGTTGCCAAGTTTGAAAAATACTGATGTATAAGATGTCCCCCATATGCATAATAGCGTGTACATAGATCATTATGTATTTGACATAATACATGCATTTGGCTGACCAATATGCAACTGTTTATGGAAAATCATCATTAGTTCCTGGGTTAGTTTCAAAGTTAGCTGTCATTGGTTCTCATTGGTGGAAATGAAGTTGGAAAATCAGTTTATTATGTATATAGTATATGTCAGGTGCATATTAAGTTACAGACATTGATAAGAATTTAGCCAATGCTCCTGCACTCTCCTATAATCTTGCCACTCATCGGGCTAATTTTCTTTTATCCAGAGAGATTTACACAGGTCACTTTACATTATTATTGCATCATATAGGTAATTTAAGTTCAGATGAAAAATATCATTATTTTTCACTTTAGTCTAATCTTTCAGATGAGTTGGGTCTGTACCTTCTAAATTCCCTGCCAGTATGACCCACACACTTGCAGTCCTGATTCCTCTGGTTTGGGAAATTTAATTTACGGTGCATTATATATATGTTATGGCTTTTAATTAAATTAAGTGCCTTAAAATCATGGTTTCATCATCCATTTCTTTTCCACTAAGGATAGTCTCCCACCAAAGATTGCCCAATCAAATGCTTTTTTCTTATACACAGAAGATCACAGAAGGCATGGAACCAGGTAAGCCGTCTGAATTGAGATATACTGTATAAGCTGCATGACTGATTTTTCATCTTCAGAGAACTAGCTGTGGCTTTTAACTAGTTTCCATCTCTCTCTTCAGATGTAACTTTGGACTGTTTGGGCTTTGAATGGGAACTTCATCGAATGTATTTATTTAAATCTCACGTCCTTTCCCAACTTCTTGCTGAAGCAACACAGCATAGCCTTTCCCCAAGCACAGGAAGCATATTGAAATCTAAAAAAGGTATTGATAGATGTTACAAAATTTATTTTTATATGTCTTTAGAATTGATTAAGACACTGAGGTCTTAATATATGGCATCTTCTATTTTACTGGATTCACAGTAGTTTACAGCCAGAAAATTTCATGGTTACTTATTGGCTCTAAGTCATAAATCTATAGTCATACTTTCCGGCTGGAATCAGGGAGTAAAATAGGGTTGGTATTTGCCTATAGTATCTTTACATTTCTCTCTCTTCTAAACGTTCTAAGATATAAAATCTTAGAAAAATGTTTAGTTCTTTGGAAATAATTAAACTATCATGAATTATTAAGCTGTTAGTATATTAGTGGGCAAAATATATTAATGAAAAATAAACGATTTAGACATTTTCTCTGTTTACCATTGCCTTGAATAGACCACGTATGCTGCCTTTTTATAGTGTCATATTTCCCGTGTTTCCAATGTTTTTAGCAGAAACCCGTTGTTATAAATGCTGTCTGCTAGCTGGTCGTAAGCAAGATAAATTCTGCCAACAGAAGGAAAAATTGACAAAAGTCACCATTGCTCTGGAGATCAGTGATCAAGATGTCACTCGGTTTGGTAATGCAAACTATCTTACTCTATAAATTGACTATTTGCCAAAGATATTAAGGTGTTTCACAGGCCACTATAATGGAAAAGGCTACATCTCTCATTGTAGCACCTATACTGGCTAGTAATTTTAAAATCTTTTCCTACTTCATCTTCTAGAGTCTTTTAAAACTATTTTTTTTAAAAAACTTTTTAAAAATAGTAAATACAGGTAGTCCTCAACTTTTGACCACAATTGAGCCTTAAATTCTTGTTGTTAAATGAGACAGTTGCTAAGTGAATTTCACCCCATTTTATGACCTTTCTTGCACCCGTTGTTAAGTGAATCACTGCAACTGTTAAGCTAGAACAGAGTTTTTAAGAGAACCTGGCTTCCCCATTGACTTTGCTAGTCAGAAGGTTGCAAAAGGGGTTAATGTGACCTTGGGACACTGCAATTGTCATAAATACTTGTTAGTTGCCAAGTAGCTGAATTTTGATCACATGACCATGGGGAGGCTGTAATGGTCATAAGTATCAAAAATAGTCTTAGGTCACTTTTTTCAGTGACGTCGTAACTTTGAACAGTCACTAAATAAACTGTTGTCACTCTAGGACTACCTGTATCTGGAACCAAATAAAATTCCCATCTATGATCATTAACTTTGTTGGTTGAGATTCATAGAAACAGGTCTAATATCTAGAAAGCCATGAGTGCCCCATACCTATCCTGATGACAAGCATATAGAAGCCTCTGTGGCACAGTGGTTACAGCAGGGGTCCCCAACCACCAGTCCCCGGACTGGTACCGGTCTGTGGATCATTTTTTACCAGGCCGCAAAGCTTGGGCGCTGCCATCTTGTTTCGACGGTGCTTCCGGGTTTTCGGTTGCTTCCAGTTTTTCGGTTGGAATGTGCTTCCGGGTTTTCAGTTGGAAAGCGGCATTTGGGTGCTCGTGCCTTAGTTTCGTTGAAGAGTCGGGGGGCGGCTTTGAACGAAGAGCCGTCCCAATGGCGGTGAAGTCTTGCGTTACTCAGGTACCGGTCCATGGAAGAATAAATTATCGTGAAACCGGTCCTTGGTTCAAAAAAGGTTGGGGGCCACTGGGTTAGAGTGCAGTACTGCAAGCTACTTCTGCAGCCAGTTGCCTACAATTTGGCTGTTCAAATCCCACCAGGCTCAAGGTTCACTCAGCCTTCCATCCTTCAGAGGTGGGTAAAATGAGGACCCAGATTGTTGTAGGCAGTATGTTGACTCTATTAACTGCTTAGAGAGGGCTGTAAAGCACTATAAAGTGATATATAAGTCTAAGTGCTATTGCTACTGCTATATGATACTAATAATACTTGGGAAAGGATGAATTCAATCTGTTCCTCAGACTCCTTGCATGGAAACAGCTATACTGAGCTCAGGGCCTACTTGTATTTTATGTCTTGCAACAACAGTCTGTATTGTTTTGTGTTCCCTAGATATCACAAATATTGAGCAGCCTTTTCAGGATCTGTTTTTGTCTAGAATTCCTGGGTGACTGACAAAGGTGTTCTTGGTATCCATCTATTATTTAAAATCATTGATGATGGGAGCAACTAACGTATATATAGTGATAGTTTATAATAATCTCAAAGGTGCTTTTTTCCCCCAAAGGCAACTGGACTTTATTTTTTTTCTTTGAAAACGTTTCACTTCCCATACAAGAAGCTCCATTTTTTTTCAAAGAAAAAACAATAACAACAAGAAAATCCTGTTGCCTTTTGAGGGGCAGGGGCGGGGAGGCACATTTAATACAACCATGACCTGGATGATTGAGAATCTCCATACACATTCTATAGTAATCTGAATAAATATTTTGTTCGGGAGCAGGGGTAATGCTGACATCTTATTATATTTATAATCACATGTTTATTGGCATATTCTGTGGATACGATGAAGCCTTTGCTGTTGCACTCAAGAACATGTACAATTCTGAACCAGAAGTGAATGAAGAAGATGCTCTAGGAATTCTGGCTGCAGCAGAAGTGTTACAGTTCCCTAGCCTTTTTCAAAAGTAAGTAGATTATGACATACCGTAATACAATTTGCTTGAGATTTGGGGAGTGAGTTATGTCATGGCATTCCTCTTATTACAAAAATGTTCTAAGTGGGATGTCAGCCTTCATCAGCCAAAGCCTATCCCAAAACTGTGTTTAAACTATATTTATATTTAAATGCCAAGGGGTCAGGAATTGGAAACTTGTGGCCTCCTAAATTTTGATGAACTTTATCTACCAGCACAGAAGATAAAGAGAAATTTGGCAATATTTTATTTCTTTATTTGATTTTTATCCCACCTTTATTACTTTATAAGTAACTGAAGGGAACAAACATACACAGTATTTCTTTCTCTTCCTCTTTTCCCCACAACAAAAACCCTGTGAAGAATTGTTGAGATAATTCCCCATTAGGAGAATGAGCGCATACAGGGAGACGTATTTGAGAGAAGTGTTTGAATAATACACACACAGCACACAGATACACTGTACAGTAAATGTAGGTTTTTACTTCCAGAAAGGTTTAAGCAAAGTCCAAAATAAGCAATCCAAAATCATTCACAGGTAAATCAGTCAGTTTTTCAATCCAGGGATAATCCAAATATCAAAGTCCAGTGTCAAAAACAATTCAGTAATAGACTTACATTAAATCCAGTAATATCAGTCAATTAGAAGAAATGGAGGAACGGCAATACTTTCCAACAGAAGGAAACAGAGATACACTCGCACTCTCTTCTGAGACTCGGACTAAACAATCCAGGTTTCTGGCTCCATCTTATGGCTGTTTGAGAAACCACACCCAATTGCATGCTCTTTCATTCCCTTAAAGATATAGTACTAAAATGTTTATCCTGGTTTATATATTTCTAACCCAAATACCTGTTAGGTGACTTATATTCCTAACAAGAATGTTCGGCTGAGAGAGTGACTGGCCCAAAATTACCCAGCTGGCTTTTGTGTCTAAGGCAGGACTGGTTTCTAGGCCAGCACCTTCACCAAGCTGAGGCTTTACAAGCAAACAGGCACGAGATGCATTTCGGCCTCAGAATTTCTTTAGCCACCCAGTGGGAAATTCTGGAATTTCTTCAGAGAATCATCTTGAAGAAGACGATTTCAGAATTTCATATAGGAGAAATGTAGATTCCCCATGCCTGATCTAAACTATTGTCTCTCTAGTAATATTGCAAAGCAGTCTTCACTGAACCAGCAGGCTTCCAGATATGTTCAAAGTTAGCTCTCACAACTTCTAATCAATGGAGTGCTCCAGTGATTATGCTCCTATAATTCTTTTTGGGATTAAGAGATGTCTGATACATGTGAAGGCTTCCAGATTCGACTAAGCTGCTGTAGAATAATATATAAAAATTGTTAACAATTCTTTCAGGTGGAAAAGAACATTGTATCAGACCTCTGGTACTGAGACGGAGTTTTTAAAACACTTTCATATCCATGGTTAGCTCACTGTCATAAAATTGCTGTTTGCTTTGAAAGAAATAATTGTTTCCCCGCTGCTTCCGGTGTGTGTGTGTGTGTGTGTGTGTGTGATTTTAGTAAAGGGAACAGAAAGGAATTATTGTTTGATTTCTGTCATGAAGTGATGTCTTGGGTTAATTTCTCCTTCCCTTTAAGTTTTGTTTTAAAAACAAAACAGAATATGTTGATTTCCTTTCATTTCTGTCTTGTCCCTAAATGGCCTTTATTCAAAATTCAGACAAGTTGACCAGCAATTCTAAATAAGTACTTTTTGCCAAGAGACTACAAAAAACTTCAGAAGAGTCATTTTCATCTGTCTAACTGGAGGGGTGGGGGGAAAGGAGCAGCCTGACTTGTCCCACAGAGAGATAAAGCATCTGACCAATATGCAAACCACGTTGTCCCTGAGAGAATTGTGTAATTAAACATGAGGTAAACAAACCAAACAAATATTGTTTCCCCGCAACAGCAGTCTGCTATGCCCATGAGAGGATAAATGCTACAGAGTGAGCTAGGCTCAGCTTTCTCTATGAAGAGAAAGGATTCAAGATGATTCTCTAGAGAATCACTGAGAGATACACCAGAATTTCCCACCCAGGGCCTAAAGAAATTCTGTGACCTGCCAAAATGCATTTGGTGGGTATTTGCTTATATAGAGAGAGCCAAAGAGCTAGAAAGATTATTTGTATTTTTCCTTTCCTTCTTTTGGTTCTCCTCTTAACCCTCTTCTTGCTTGTAACTCAATCTTTTCTGCCCTCCAGGTGCATCCAGGTCATGAGAAGGAGTATCTGTCCTACCAATGTCTGTAGTTATTATACTGCAGGCTGCAAGGTGAGCTGCAAACTTAATGGCTTTTCTTTTAAGTAGTGGAATTCTAAATATATTAGTTGCATTTTCATTTTATAACATTAAAATTGCAACTATTAAAACGTCATCCCAAAAGAAATGAATGTTCTTATTTTTTTGGTCTCCAATCAAATATAAAGTGGTTTAATTTCCAGTTTCTACCACAAGATGGTTCTAGAGTTCAGAGTTTCTTTAACTTCTCTGTTTCTCCCCACTTTGGAAACAGTATAAACAACCTTCCTTGATCGCTCTCTGTGAAAGATGGACTGAGGTAAACCTTGTCCCACAGCTTGGCTCCCAGATATGCCTGCGGAACCTGCCACTGGAGCTGCTGCAGAAAGTGCTTAAATCTCCAAGGTCAGAAAGTGCTTGGCTAAAAGGAGGGGTTCCTGGATGCAGGTGTGGTCTTCTTAAAATAAGTAAAGGTTCATCAAAATAATGTAAGAAAGGTTGCAAGTTGCTCTAGTAAGTCTCCCCTGCTTGGCAGCAACTATACTCCAGGCCAGAAATCACTGTGCATATTGATGCAAACACCTATGACACACCCCCACCTGACAGCAGGCAACCCCAGGTCCAAAATTATGCATAGCTGCCCATACACAGTCTGGCATTCAGCAGTAGCCACCCTCGACCTGAAATTGCTAAACTGGACGCTCTTTACCTGTCTGCTGACCTGGTGCAAGCCACCAAGGACTTGCAACTTCCTATCAACTTCCTTTCTGACTTTGGTTGTTAAAACTGGGCAGCTCACTTAGTGACCCATTATCCTCAAGGAACAGCACTGAGGACTGCTGGGACTGCCATCAGTAAGCAGTGTAGTCATGTGACATTAAGCCTTTCAACTGCATTGCTTACCAGTGGAAATTCTGGTCCCAATTATCATCATCATTAATCTAGGGCTACATTGTAATGAGGTAAAATGCAAGCACTATTTTAGCAAATGTAAAATAGTAGGCATTGCAGCATAAAATACAAAGAACACGTGTGTGTGTTAATCTTCACTTAGCAGTGATATCATAATTATATAGGTAGCTGTTAACTACCTTGCTTGTAAGGATGTAGAGATTAAAGAGAAAGGAAGTACAACATAGTCAAACTTGTCCCACTAGCTAGACGAGACCTAAGAAATCAACTCAACAGGAAGGCTACTTTTATCCATATTGGCTATATTAATGGAATCATTCAGATCTGATTATGATGATCTGATTCACCAGGTAATGGTTGAACCTGATCATTGTGAATAGCAAAGGCTGGAGAAAAAACTCTCCTAAGAACAGTCTTTAAATGAAGGAAATTCAGTCCGAAAACAAAGTACATATAAACTGTAAATAAAAATCCACACAAACCATGTTGCAGCAATTAACTGGACAGGGCAGGATAAGGAATTGCAGACTTCGAAGGCCAACAAAACACATACCGTTGGGAAGACACCAGGAACACAGATAAGCCTCGACCATAAAAGATAACTCACAATTTGCTTCCCACAGGTTGTTGTGCGCAAACTCCCTTTTTAAACACTGTGTTCCCAGCTGCAGCTAATGAAGGGAATCAGGGCCCTTTCCTCCCCTGTAAGCCATGCAACTCATGTTGCTCCCTTCTCTGTTCCTCCCTGAATGCCCTAGGATGAAGAGGGGATGGGCCTGGATCTTCCTCTGAATTCCCTCTGTCTTGCTCTACCTCTCCCCTGCTCTGCCCAGCCGGACCTTGCCCTTCCCCAGTTTCTTCCACAGCCACCAGAGCCACACTCCCACTCCCTGTCAGCTGCTCAGCCTCCCACTCAGAATCAGATTCCGACAGGGGCATGACATTAGGTGATTCTGGACTAAATGGTCGTGCATTCCCACTTCCCATGCATATTTCTTGGAAATACTCTGTTGTTGTTGTTGTTGTAGAAACCCTTAAAAAGTGAACATCCACCAGTGTCCCCACTCCCTTCAATATATTATATTTTTTTCCTGACCTTATAAGATTGGAACTTCATAGTAACAAATGAAAATTGACCCACGGCGGAAAAAGAGAAATGAATTATCAGTGTACAATTACCCATTTTAGCTTTCTCCCCCACCCCCTTGTGTATTTTATCACCAAGTGATTAGGTAGCATGAGTCTTGAATATACCTTTCCAGACAAAAGTGATGTCAGCTGGGGAGCTATATTAGCAGGAGGTGACAGGTTCTCCAGGTCTATTGCTCAAATTCTCAATTATCCTAATGAGTTATATAGCCAGACTTTCATTTCCACACTATTGCAGAGAGTTGCCCACATTTTCTACACTTCTAATCTTTGAACGGACTCTTGTCTTGTCTGAGCCTTTCATTAATTTCACTCTTCTCAGAAAGCAATTAGTTTCCTCCCCCAAAGTTTTAAGAGCTGTTCTTTTCAAATTCCTTGCCAGTACATGGTTTTCACAAAAGCCTCTGTCTTCTTGGATTATGTCATGTTAGTCTGACCATATCTCACCCTCATCTTCTCTTTGCAAAGTCTACTTTATGGGTAGGATAAGGGCCAAGAAGATAACTTTTTATCCGATTAGTTTCGGAAGCAACTAGTTGCCAAGACTTGTCTTGATTAGAGAAGATATACTAGCAATCCAGTGGAGATTTTTATTAAAAATGCAGGAAATAGCAATAGCACTTAGACTTATATACCGCTTCATGGTGCTTTACAGCCCTCTTTCAGCGGTTTACAGAGCCAGCATTTTGCCCCCAACAATCTGGGCCCTCATTTTACCAGCCTCAGATGGATGGAAGGCTGAGTCAACCTTGAGCCTCTCAGAATCAGAGTAAGCCTGCAGTACTGCATTTAATCATTATGCCACCACAAGTATACAAAATATGCATCAATAAATAAAATTATGTTTTGCTTTTACAACAAAGTCATATCTGACTGCTCATGTGTTGATAATATTTTTATAGATTAGAAGTAATCATCACAATATTCTGGACCAATATTCTCAAGCTTGGCAACTGTAAGATGTGTGGACTTCAGCTCTCAGAATTGCTGGCTAGAGAATGCTGGGACTTGAAGTCCACCCATCATAAGCCGTTAAGGTCAAGAAACACTGATCTAGATTTTGGGTTGGGCTTTCACATTATGCTTACTGCAACATAATCAAAGTTCTCTGGACTTTTTCCTTGTTAAAGTTGGTTCCTGCACCTACTGAAACCTGAAATGGCATTGATATTAATCTTAATTGCACTATTTTCAGAGGTTTAAAAAAAAATTTTTTTAAAAAAATACAAGTTTGTGCCTTTGGCTGTTATTAAACTTGGCATTGTGCAAACACTGGGCCATGTCATTTGCTGTTTTTGGAATTACAATCATTATCTGCCAGATCAGACATTAATTAATATGCTCAAATATAATATGTTCATTTGAAGTAATAGAACTTTTGAAAACATTATTAAAGAGAAATACTCTAAGATTAAATGTTTTTCCTATGTCTTAAAATGTCTATCTCTTTAAAAAAGTTTGCTTCAAAAATGTAACTAATTGATTAATATCTCCCCTTTTGCCAGGTTGTTTACCATCAATGAATTCTACCTCTTGAGAACTGCATTATACTGGGTATTCCTGCAGCAAAATCCCAAAATTCAGATAATCCCATCTTATGATACTATCCTCAGATATTTTAGCAGGTATACTTTTGTTACACAGATCATAACCCTCCTCTAAAGCAATCTTGGGCTTAGGCCTGATTTCTTTCAGCTCTCAGCCTAAATTCAAAAGTCTTCTGCTAGCAAACTATCATTTGGCTAATCCCATTCTAACCTACTGCAAATTGAAAAGGAAAGATGGAAGTAGAAAAGGAGGGTGAGGCTTCTTTAAGCCACACCCATTATGTAATGATATGAGATTCCAGATCCAATGTGGTCGTCAACAGACCACATTATCTAAATGGGCTACATTATTATATTTCTCAAAAGTTCTATGCTCTTGGTTGGGCTATGAAAGAGTGGTGGCCTCAGATAAATGACTAAGAAGAGTTTGAAGGTGCCCTTCAGGCCATCCCTGGTTCCCTGCAGAAATCTCCCCCTACATTTTATAGGCGAACCTATGTTGGTCCAATCTCAGTCAAACATAATATAAAGAATTAGCATCCCCTTCAGCTGCATTTGCTGCTGCTAAGGCAGAAAGCCAGCCGGTCATCCTTTTCATGTCTTTCCTGACCCAAACAGAATACCAAGAAATGAGCAAAGTTCATGAAAGATTTCCAGCCTGGCTTGTGAAATACAGTTTTTGTGGTTTAGGTTGATTTATTTTAAAAGACTGTCTTAATGCTGCTGGTGCTATCCCATGAGCCATTCTTTCTTGTGAGTCATGGACCACTATAAAGAAATCACTGTCAGAATCAAAAGAGAGTTCCCATGCCTTGAATATCAAATGTTCTTCTTTTTTATCTCTCCCTCCCCCGACCCCACAAGCTCTGCTTTTTTTTACCAAGTGATAGGAATGAGTTGAAGGCCTAGATGAATCATTGTTTATTAGCCTGACCTGAGAAGCACTCATTCTATTGAAAGATTTTTTAAAATAAGGGCATTTGCAGTCAGGCCCATGTACAGGATTAATGTGATGCATAAACTCATTCTTCTACAGGTTATAATGTACATGATGCAGTAAGATTATGTGGCAATCTGCGTTTCAAAGGCAATTTCCTTTCAAAATAGCTGATTAATTGACCAGAAATCCATCCTTTTAATCATCTCATTTAAGCTTGTTGAATTTTAAATAGTTTTAACGTTTACAGATTTGTATTCTGTCAGCTTAATATAATCTTCTGTAACATGCTTCAGTCTGAAATAGCTGAAAGGGGGAAAATAGATCATGTAACACTTGCTTATTAAGCTATGTGGAAATATGTACATATAGACAGTGCTTTAGGAGTTTATTCTTTGGCTAGTCAACTAGGTTTTGCTGAAATTCTATCATATCAACCAAAATCAAATTTAACAGGAAACAAACCAATAGAAACAAAGGTATGAATAGGACCCATTAAAACTCCCCTAGCATGCTAAGCATGTTTCTCAAGAGTAAATCTAATTGCTTTTAATCTGTTTATTTTAATACAACTTCCAGTCATAGATATCATATTGAAACCAGAGTTATACATGCATAAATCCAGTGAATGAAGCTGATTAAAAATGGATTATTTCAAAATCCATCTTCATGAACATTATCCTGCCCTGCCAAAGGTCTGATTTTCATTCTCAGAATGTTTTTGTCCTTGCTTTATTGTAAGGGGTTAGAAGATGCTAGTTGTGTGTGTATTTTGGCAACATTTTTTTTCATCACTGGTTTCACATGGTTCAGAAAAGTGTCCCATTGGAGGGGTTGTCTTGAATGACATCCTTGAGATCTTATTCTAATCTTAATCTTGGGGCCATGATCAGCTAGTAAAAATTCATGTACTCTGGTCTTATGAGTCAAATGGATGATGGGAAAACTGACTCTGCTTGGCAAGGTTGAAAAGCAGAAAAGAGAGGAAGTCAGTGGATAACACATGTCTGATGAGATTGTTCAAGTATCATTGAAAGAGTTATGGAACTGGTTGTAATAATAGACATTTGTCCATTGGGTTATCAGGGGTCAGGCAAAACTTACCTAATTAATGAAATATTTATGGAAAGGACCTCGCAGTCCCCTGGAAAAATAAATACATGATGAAGGATAAAACACAAATATTTTTGGCTACCTTCCAAACAAGATAAATGCTATCTAACCCTTAATGATGCTGAAAATTTCTTCCCCTTTCTGTCTCATCAACTTGCATGAGGATGGTTGAAATTTTTGGCATTGCATTTACACTTAGACCTCTTTTGGATATGGCTGGTACATATTGAGATTGGAGTCTCTTAAAAACTATACTATTACTATATACCATTCAACCCTTCCTAAAAGGTTATCCTGAGAATAACCAGGTGGCTTTTTGTTTATTACCTGTTATCCTTGTGTATAGTAGGTGCAAATGCTTCAAGCAGAGTTTTCTGTGGGTACAAAAAAAAAGTCTGGCAAAGAGAATTGTAGAATCAAGTCAAGATATTTGGCCTGGGTTGCCATAGACAAAGAGAAAACAGCAGATATACAAAGCTTTCCATTGTTTAGCAGCCACATGAGATACCAAGTAGCTTTCTGCTACTTTATAACAGTTCCTTACACAGTTTATGGAAACAGCTGCAAGAGATTTCTTGCACTGGAAATCTCAGCCAATTCCCAGTTACTGGCCAGTTTCCAAAGAACCATATAACTGAACTTGTTCCAGAGTGCCTAAAGGAGGTCTGTGTTTGCATTTCTTTCCAACAGAAGCCTCCTCTGCCACATCACAGCTCTATTTTAAAACCCAGCAGAGTTCAGAGTTAATGTTCAGAATGACACTGAGAACATAGGAAGACTTCTGCTAAGTCAAAGCCAAAGTCCATTTAATGCAGCATCCTGTTTCCAACACTAGCTAGCCAATGTTTCTACAATGCCATCTCTGTTACAGTATATGTCCTAGCTATTGAGTAGTCTGCCCTCCTTCTGTAGTCCGTTTCCTGTTTCCAGGCCATTTAAAGATTATTTTCAATCATTAGTTAGCATCATCTTCATCAAACAACAATGATATCAAGATGGCATTACTGAATATTTACATGCCAACATGTAATATAAGAGCGTACGTGTTTGTGTAATGATGATCCGTGTCATCACTTACTCAGTTGAATTGCATGAGCCTTGTATTCCTTCTTTGTATTTCTTAATGTCTGCTTTGCTGGATTTCTCTGATATCTTGACAATTAAATTCATAATCAACTGGAAAAAAGATATTGAACAGAGTGTCTAAAATACTTTATATCTACGTTCTGTGAATACAGTGGCTAGTTTATTACTAATTAGGACTTGGTTGCAAAACCAGTTTCCTAGTTTTAAAATCAGCTGCACTGAAATACTGATCTTAGGACTATTTCTTGATTTAGGTACTCATAGAAAGGAAAAAAGAATGAAACTTCCAGCTGCACAAACCAGAGGTGGGGAACGATGATGGCTCCTTTATGCTGAGGAATTTTTGGAATTGAAGTCCACAAGTCATAAAAGGGCCATCATTCCCCATTCCTGTTCTAAAGCTTAGCATGATCTCAAATTCTCATATTTCATCAACTATTTTTCAAAAGCAAAAATGGACTTAGCTAGGAAGGTAGATTCACATATAAGGTAAAGGTTCCCCTCGCGCATACATGCTAGTCGTTTCCTGCTCTAGGAGGCAGTGTTCATCTCCATTACCAAGCAGAAGAGTCAGCACTGTCCGAAGTCATCTTCATGGTCATGTGGCTGGCATGACTAAACACCAAAGGCACACGGAACGCTGTTACTTTCCCACCTATTTTTTTACTTGCATTTTTACTGCTTTTACTGCTTTCGAACTGCTAGGTTGGCAGAAGCTGGAATAAGTAACGGGAGCTCACTCTGTTATGTGGCACTAGGGATTTGAACCACCGAACTGCTGACCTTTCTGATTGGAAAGCTCAGTGTCTTAGCCACTGAGCCACCGCGTCCCTTTTAGATTCACATATAATGCTAAGCTAAAGTATGCCTTGTTGGTTTTACTTTAGCCACTTATTTGAACCCACACAGGTGTGATTTAATCCTCCCTGTACAAATTAAGATTAAGCAAAGCGTGAGTTTATGTGATATGTAAACTCAGTCTCACTCTGTGAGCTAAAGCTATGGATCCTAAGTGCAAAAAGATTATCAGTCCCTGATCTACAATTTCACAATATATCCTCATTCCAAAATTTCTCAGCTGCCATGATTGGAATGTGCATCTGTATGTCTGTGAGAGAAGATTTATTCTTCTCCAAGAAGCAAAGTTTGAATCCAAGCTACAGGTTATCATTTGTCTTTTTTAAAATAAATTGATTAATTGTCAATCATTAAACATATTTATTATCAATATTTGTATGTGATAGTGGAGAAAAAGAGTGAAGTTGGCACATACTATATTCTAGAAAATGAACATCTGCAAAAAATAAGCTAAAATGGTTAGTCAAATAGATATGTTGGCAGAACTCAGGAGAATATTTTTCCAAAATTATGAGGTGAAATGGGTTGTGTTTAAATAATGAGTGAAATTCAGAGAAGGGACATTGTGATAATTTCTGTGAGGCAGCTGGTTTCTATGCAAATCCTTTGGAACTGGAAATGAACTATTGTTTAAAGTAAAAGAAAGCTATTTCTGAGTTCCTTTTAGCCTTTTGATAGCAACAGGTGGCTGATTTCTGACCTTGTAATGATACATTGCATTTTCTTTTTTCTTTCTTTTATCTTTCCTCCTCCTCCTCCTCCCACTCCTCCTCCTTCTTTTTGGTATTCAGAGAGCTTACTTCTGGATGCCTTGCATCTATAAAATAAAATATAAAAGTGTGAAATAAATTAAGCAAAGTTGCAGATGAACTCCCCAAAAGTCACTGGATGAGATGAAGAGATTTACCAACTTCGGAGTTTCTTTTTATGAATGGCTGCATTTTTAGAAGTTCTGTTGATAATAGCTTAGTTGAAATAACATTGGAAGACAACTACTAACTAACTAACTTTTGGGGACTAACTAATTGAAAGCAAGAAGTGGGAAAGATCAATAAAATAAAAGGAGACAGATATTTAGAAAGAGTACAAGCTGTGTACCTGACAATTCATCCTAGAAGCTCAGAGAGATTTTGGGTTGTAACCGTATATTCAATTACTTCGGTTACTATGTGAGATGGCTTTTGAATCTACTAAAGTTAGTAGTGTCATGTCTGTGGGAACGATGCTAATCAGCAGTGCAAAAGCCAATATTCTCAGTCCAATGGCTTCTTATTGCCTTCCTCCCTTGCGCTGAGCACTTGAAGTTGTCTGTCAGACCTTTGAAGCAAGTTCATATTAGGAAACACAAGAAATAGGAGACTTCCTCATTACAGGCAGGCCTCAACGTATGACCAGAACTGAGCCCAAAATTTATGTGGCTAAGTGAGAAATTTGTTAAATGAGTTTTGCCCCATTTTGCGACTTTTCTTGCCGCATTTGTTAAGGGAATCATTGCAGTTGCTATATTAGTAAGTGAATCTGGTTTCCCCATTGACTTTGCTTGTCAGAAGGTCGCAAAAGGGGTTCCATGACTCCAGAAAACTGCAACCTTCATAAATGTGAGTCAGCTGTCAAATCACATGACCATAGGGATGTGTGAAAAATGGTTATGTCACTTTTGTTTTAGTGCTGGTCACTAAACAGTCACTAAGGAAACAGTGAATGGTCACTAAGTGAACTTTTGTAAGTCAAGGACTACCTGTATTGCTATGAAGCTATGATAACAGAATCTTGAAAGTATGACCCAAATAAAGGTAGTCCTTGACTTACAACAATTTATTGCTACCAAAGAGAGTGAAGGCAGCCCTGTCCCAAGTTTCTTCTTCACTCCTTTCTGTCTTTCCAGACTAAGTTCATGTTTTACTAACAGCTGCCTGGGACCTTGTTCAGGCCATACACTTCTGTACCATCTTATCAGAAAAAAAAAATCAAGTGCATTCTTCAGATATTTTTTTAAAGAACCATAATAGATTTTTTTTTCAGTGTTTTAAACACACTTTAGATAACAAGGCCATTTAGACATGTTTGTATGAAATAATGCAGAAAAGACTTGCTTGAGGAATACTATAGAAATCTTTAATGCCACTATCTGAAAATTTTGATTTGTTTATCAAACCCTACCCAAGTGCTCTCTGCTTAGATCAGTGAACCTTTGACAGCTTTGTTTAGTCTACCAACTCATGGCTGTTCCTTTCTTCCGCGTTGGCAAAGACTGAGCCTTGAAATGAGGCGCTTACTTTTTATTAATCATTATATAACCATCTAAATGGCTGGTTAGATATTACCTCCAGTTAGGAATCGATTCAACCTTTGGAACAACTTTTGAGGGACCTTGCATATAATCTTTCAGAGTTTTATTACCAGATTAAGACTTCCACATTGCATATCACTCCCAAAATAAATGTTGACACATTAATCAATGTTATTACAATATAGAAATGCATGTGTAAGTTCTGATTGGGAATAAATACAACAATAAACTTTTTACTATTACATTAAAGTAAGAGTTGAGTTATTTACCTTTCCTTCTCTCCTCTGATGCAATTCTGAGATCCAAGGCATTTGTTTCTGCTTTCAAATGATTAGGCCATGTTTGGTTTTGTAGTTTTCACAAGAAGCCAATGAAACGGATGAAGCTAGTAAGTCAGAGTTTAGACGTTATGTTTTTGTGTTATGCAGTCACTTTCCTTCCACTTTCCTTCAAACTGCCTCTTATTTAGGGAAGTTCTTACTCTTCTGAGAGCCAACCCTAGCATTAGAGATAGTGAGGCATTCTAAGGAGACAGTGAAGGGAGAACAAACCAGGATAGACATTTCTCCCTCTAGCCTCACCACAATACCTACAGCAGATGCTCTAATATGTGGCCTTGAAAATTTCCTTGAAGACCCATCTCTAAATCTCACTGGGAGCAAAGCACCTGGACTTCTCAATCTTCAGAAAGTCCCGAATGGCCTCTTTTCTGAAGTTTCAGTTAAAAGTCAGTCACATGTTTCTTTGAACAACATGCCTGAATGCTTTCTGATGGAGCTGATAGGACTGAAAGGCTGACTCAGCCTTCCATTCTTCCAAGATTGGTAAAAAGAGGACCCAGATTGTTCTAAACTCAAGGCCTGCAGGCTGCATCCAGACCACAGGGCCATCCTGGAAACAGTGAAGGCCTGGCTCGCGGTGCCTTTGCCAGCAAAAACGGAGCTCCATTTTTGCTGGCAGAAGGTTGCAGGAGGCTGTTGCAGGCAAAAATGGAGCTTGGGAGGGCCATGGGTAGCTCTCACAAACTCCTTTTTCATTGGAGAGGGTTGCAGGAGGTTGTTGCAGCCAAAAATGGAGGTTGGGAGCCCATTTTCGCTGGCAGAGCACTCAGGACACCAAAGGCACCCCAACATGAGTGACATCAAGCTGGCCATACCCACCCTGGCCATGCCCACCCTTGGCACCCTGAGGTCAAACAAAACCCTAATGTGACCCCGGATCAAATTGCGTTTGACACTCCTGCTCTAAACTGGTTAGAAAGGGCTCTAAAGCACTATGAAGCAGTATATCAGTCTAAGTGCCGTTGTTATTGCTATTATGTATTTGCCACAATCTGTATACAGTACAATTCCTATGTCAACTTGGGGAGTGTAAAGATTTACAAACAAACAATTATATTAAAAAAAAACAGTTATAGCACAAATGAAGACTTTGAGATTGACATGCTTTCAATTGACATGCTTTCAATGGCCATTGTGTTGCTGAGGGAAGAGCATTTATCCATCATCTCATTTGTAGTGCCTTGCCTTGAGGTAGTTGTGTCTGTGTGGTTGCTTTACTTTACTCTTTAACTTTACTCTTCACCACACTGCAAAGGCTTTCCGTGAGGAAAATAATGTTTATAGAGTGAAATGTTTCAGGGGGTGATAATGTTTGTGTTGGCATTGAGTAAAATCTTTGGTCCATTATTCTGATTCTTTAGTTTACCCAGGACTTGGGCCTTCTTGGAAAGGAAAGAAGGGCAACAATACATGGCTATTTTTCAGTCTCTTCGTTTACATGGCATCACTTCAAGTAAGTTTATTTTTTTCTGTGATTATTCAGAAAATCGGATGTCCTAAATTTTGTGATGGCAAAAAAACAATATTTACTTGTAAACGACCATCAATTCAGTAAGATTTCTATCAACATACCATTTACATGGTACTTTATAGAACAGGTTTCAAAGTATCCAACAGCTATATATGAAAGAAAACTAATATTATGTAGCAGTATATACATATAAAATATATATTAAAACTCTATTTACATTTTCTCTGTTATATTTTTTTCCATTTGGGAACAAGTGGATTGAACTATGATATCTCTTGACACCTTGCAAAGCCTTTATAAAATGATTTTTTTTTCAATCAAGGAAAGGGATTCCAAAGTGTGTACGGTCCCACTTCTACCCCCTAATTAATTTTCACAGACACTTTAAAAAAATAAAGGAAAAACTAGTTATGGGAAATAACTCTTTGAATCTGTAAAGTGGTCTTCAACCATTTGTTTAATGATACATAAGGAAATAGTAGAAACATACATTTGATACTTTAAAGTATAATACATTATAAAAAGCATAATCTAACTGATGGTAAGTTTGATAGGGCTTCAGGCCCCCAAAACAGGTAAGTCCTGCTTTCTTTGTCCTTATTTTGATGGGCCTGTGACAGGTATGATAGCTTTGCTGGCTTTGACAGCATGGATCACTCATTTAGGAATGACCAAGCCCAGTCACATTGCTTTGACACACCCAAGTTCTCCAAGAGTTAATCAGTGTTGTGACAGTGGATCTAACCATGCAACATTCTGTTCTAATGACTGATCTCTCATATACATTGCCCACCATTCTATGCAACTATTTCATGTCAAGTCAGTGGAAAAGAAATCTGACACCATCTTTAGATCTAACAACATTTTTGCTGCTTTTCTTGATTTAATGTTCATCAAATGAGATGGAATTACAACTCCCACCCACTATGCTTATTTATCAATCTCTCTCTCCCTCCCTCCCTCCCTCTCCCTCTCCCTCTCTTTTGCTCCTTCCCTCCCTCCCTCCCTCCCTCTCTCTTTCCCTCCCTCTCTTATCTTTTATTCTGAAATCAAGACAACGTCCTTCACACTACCTCCTTCCACTTGTCTTCAAGAACTTAGTGAGGGAGGTTGGTTTGGAAGAGAGCGATTGGCATATTAGCCAGTGAGGGCAAATCTCTCCTATATCAGCCTAGCTTTTAACTAGTATGTCAGATACATGTAATAGTTCCAGCTATGTCTATGTGTTATAATGGCAGAGGAATAAGTAATTGAAAAGCTTCTTTATTCACATTCTTTAAAATAAACCATTCAGCTATATTACAAGCTTCAACAATAATTGCTTTCATTTGCAGGCTGACGGTATACTTCCTCCTTTCAAACCAGAAGAAGCACTTAAAAGTCTCCACCTCATAGATTTCAGATGCACTTTTTTTTCTCAAAATCAATGTTTTTCAAACTTGGAAACTTGTAGAGTTTGGATTTCAACTCCCAGAATTATTCAGAATGCTTGCTAGGGAATTCTGGGAGTTGAGGTTCATACATCTTTTAAGTGGCCGAAGCTGAGAAACGCTGCCTAAATCAAAGCTATGAAATTTCCACTTAAGGTCATCTTAAGATTAGTGTGATATGTTGATGACTGAACTGTAAAATTGAACAAAGGCCTTTGGGGAAAAGAGGGTCAAGCATTTCAAGAAGTGAATGTCAGAATGTCCTTTAACGCTGGAAGACTTAAACCATCCACTTTGTTTTAATTCCCCAAATGAAAAACAGAGGCCCCAACTCTAGGAGTCTGAAGTAAATGACATTCTTTGCACCCCTGTGAGTAAATGATAGGAAATTATTTAGCAGCAATTACACAAAAATGATTGCCAAACTTTTTTTCATTGTGTGAACACCCCAAAAGCAGGTGAATGGGCCAATGTTGCTAAACTTGATCCTTGGCATGTGTGGCTGGCAGAAACACATGATAGGAAGAACTGCATGACTACAGACTATGCAAAACTCCCAATTCTGACAAGTTTAGATTACGTGCATTGTTGACACAAGAATGCTTTTGTTTGACAATGTTTAATTCTGTTAACATTACAAGCAAAAGCAGGAATGAGCACTAGGTGAAAAGTGCAGCTGGAGTAATGAATTGCCTTAAGGTACTTCTATACCAGGGTTTTATTGAGCAATTGTCAGGCTTCTTTCAGGGCATTTTAATTGGAAGGCGAAGGCCATTTTTAAAAAGGCACTTGTGTCTTGCATAAGAGCCTAAGCCACAAAAAAAACCAACTATAGTTAAACGTAATCAATTTTGGTATGTTAAGAAAGAATTCTGTAGTACCACTACAGCTGGACTACTGGCTTTAAATCCAGATTCCTAAGGATTGGGAAGGGCTGCAGATAAATTTCATAATGACAGATTCATGATTGGAGGAGATAGTGACAGAGGAAGAAAATATTTTGTTTATAATTCACCAGATATAAATAATCAGATTGGCGTAGCAGGATAGACAGGTAGGGCTAATGGGTGAGGATGATTAGATAAAAGACCAGGAGGCGGAAAACTTTTGTGACTACTCAGTGAGGAACAGGAAAATAATGCAGGAAGTGTTCAGAGAAAGAAGAGAATAGCAAATTAGCTAATTAATTATTTCAGGTTTGATGCCACTAAACGCTGGGCGGTTCACAGCATAAAATGTTCCAAACGCTCTGGAGAAGGCACTCCCATAGCCCAAGTACCTTGCTGAGATTCCTTGTCCAGTCAGCAGATCCTCAAATAAGTCGTGAATGGTTTCCAAAAGCAGGCAGACTATCATATAAAACTATATTTTGCTGATGGAATGAGTTTTACAAGGAAAGATCTGCAAAGGGGATGTTGTCCAATGCCCGTGGTATAATAATCATATTCTAGAAAGTAAGGAGGAGTCCAGTCTTTATCCCACAGCTACTCTTCATATTCTTTCATCAACTCTGGCATTTTAGAGCCCCAGCTACATCTCATATATATTCCTGCTATATTCTTATTATACCTATCCAACCTCCCTGTAAGTTATTCTTCCTAGTGTATCAGAAACAGCTTTTTCTTTAGTACTGAATAATATAAAAGGAACAACTGAATTGTTGCTTTTGTCTTTTCCAAAGGTAGACATCTAGAGGAGCTATGGAAAATTAATTTCTTTCCTTTGCCGTGGCTTACAAGGATCTTGTCTGATCACTACCATGCAGTGAGTTGGTATGCTTAGTGTGAAAATGGGTCAGTCTGCATTGACTTTAAACTCTAGTTATTTCATAGGAAGTATTTTCACAGTATACCTTAATGAAAGGACCCCTGTACTAACACAAAAATATTTAATTTGGAGCTGTACTTTTATATTTGATGGCATTACCCAGATCTAGGCACAGAAATATAGAACACAGGTAAAACAAACTGTACAAATATGTATGGCCATATAAATATTGCTTCTAGGTTTGTGTAATAAAGCTGATATGAAAAGTGAATCCATTTCACCATATTATATAGCAATACATTACTGCAAATTAACACTTAATTCTTATTTTGCAAAGGCTTTTACAAAGGAAAAAAAAAGCAAGAGTTTACTTCCCTTGACTTGAAGGTGATTCAGGGGGAAAAGTCTCCTTCAAGTCCTGATAACTGAATGTACACAACCATGTAGTTGCCATGGCAGTGAACAGTATTGGTTTGCTACTGTCTTTTTAACATAATAACAGAATAGCAGAGTTGGAAGGGACCTTAGAGGCTGTTCAGTCTCTTCTAAAAAACCTCCAGTGTTGCGGCTCCCACAACTTCTGGAAGGAAGCGGTTCTACTGATTAATTAACCCACAACCTCTTTGCAAACCCAGCCCCCCAAGATGTTTTTTCAACACCCACCCACCCACCCAGTCTAGTCTATAGCTTTGCCATTTCCTGGTAATGTCCCACTTAGTGTCTTATTGTAGAGCAGCGGAATAACCTGAGGCAAACACAGAGCGAACTTCAGCTTTTACTTTATTGTAACAATAAAGGGTTGCCACGGCTGCTGTGCTAACAAGGCAGCCAGCTGGTGGACAACAGCTGATGCCGTTTGACAGTTCCCTTTTATAGCCGGCTGTCAAACGGCATCAGCCAATAGGAATGGTCCGTGTTCCCTCTGGAAACACGGACCAGAGTGAAGACTTTAGCTCAGTCTTTTCCAAATGCCGCACTCCTTTCCCCCAGAATGGAGCATGCGTAGTCCTTCAGATAACTCGGGCGCTTGCTCAGGCGGCCAGATCTTCTAAGTTCTGATGAAGCTGCTGCGGGAAGGAACTTTTCTGCTTGTTGGGCAACTTCTGGTGCCAACGAAGCTGGCGTGTCAGCTTCAGGTGTCTCTGGGCGAGGGACAGATGGATGTTCAGATAGGCTTGCATTCCTGTCAGATTCATGGGAAGTTTCTTCGGGCACCGGCAGTTTCTCTGTTGCAGAAACGTCTTGAGGGCCATCTGCAGATGAACTCCAATGCCTTCTAAGTTGATCGATATGGCGGCACCAGATGCGCCCGTCTTACAGTTGGATCCTGTAAGACTTAGGACCGGTTACCTCCACAATCTGCCCAGGCATCCACAAAGGGTGTCCCGCATAGTTCCAGGCATAGACCTGGTCATTCTCAGCGAACTCCCTTGCCTGGCTATTTGACCCTAGGGCTGTGACCGGGGCGTAATGCAGATGGAGTCTGTCTAGGGTGGTCCTCAGATGTTTACCCATGAGAAGTTCAGCTGGAGACCTATTAGTGGTGGCACAGGGAGTTGTATGCTGGGTCAGGAGATACTTAGCGAGCCTAGAGTGGCAATCTATGGACCCAAACCTTGCCAGGGCCTCCTTAACCAATCTGACTGCCCTTTCAGCCAGGCCATTACTGGCAGGATGGAAAGGAGCTGTAAGTGCGTGCCTTATTCCTAGGTTGGCTAGGAAGACCTCAAACTCACAGGAAGTAAACTGGGGGCCGTTGTCAGACACGATGGTGTCAGGGAGGCCATGGGTAGTGAATATCCTTGATAGAACCTTAGTCACAGCTTCTGAAGTTGTGGTGGTCATCAAGGCCAGCTCTACCCATTTAGAAAAAGAATCAACCATCACCAGGAATGTACGCCCATGAATGGGGCCAGCCAGATCAATATCCACCCGGGACCAAGGGGCCAAGGAATCTTCCCACCTGCCTGGAGTGGGTGTGGGTGGAACAGGTCTGGTAGCTTGGCATGGCTGACAAGCATTCACCCAACTTGTAATCTGAGCATCCATGCCTGGCCACCATACATAACTGCGAGCTAGGGCCTTCATCCTGACAATGCCGGGATGGCCTTCATGCAGGACCTTTAAAATTGAGTCTTGCAACTTGGAAGGGATAACTACCCTAGTTCCCCAAAGTAAACAGCCTTGCAAAGAAGATAGTTCTTGCTGGCGAGTTTTGAAAGGCACGAATTTGGGGGCATAAGGAATTGCTGGCCACCCCCTTCCCACCCAGTCAAGAACTTGGGCGATTACCTTGTCCCTGGCAGAGTGGGCAGCGATATCAAGGGCAGTAATGGGAAGTTTGAGATCGTTGATCTGGAAAACAGCATTAGTTGGTGCAGCATCCTCCACAGGAACAGGCAGGGAGCAGCCACTAAGAGCATCAGCGTGGCATAGACTCTTGCCAGGACAATGAACCAGGGAATAGGAATAGGCAGCCAGAAATAAGGTCTACCTGGTCATCCTTGGAGATAAAATCTGAGGAGTTTGTCTTTTGCCTGACAGAAGGCCTAACAGAAGCTTGTGATCTGTAATCAACTCGAAATACTGTCCATATAGAAACTCATGGAATTGTGAGGGGAGGAGCTGGCGTCACGATGGTACAGTCTGCAATCGAGCTCTAAGATAGCAGCCGATATCTTCACCCCTGGCTGGTCCAAATGGATCTAAACCATCCCGCAGAGATGGTGATCGCGAAGGACATATCCTGTGGATCCCAGGGACACCACAAAGTCCCTGGTTGATCCAGGAGAAGTCCCTTTTGCCAGCAGTGGAGAGGCAGCCCCAAAGTTGCTGAAGTCGGGACAGCTCCAGAAAGGAAGAGGCTAAAAGAGAAAGTGTGTCGGCTGGGTGAGAATCCTTTTTTTTTTTACTAACATTTTGAGATTTGAAAGGACACTCTAAGTATAAGAAGAAACCTGTGAGATTTTTGACAAAACTGAATAAGCGGCGACTTTTAAAGGGAGACGTCAAAGTGAGGCTTGGCTTTTTTTTTCCTTTTTTTTTTTACTGGACTTTATCGTGACTTAGCAGTTAACTGGACTGAATTTTCCTTTATATATATATATATACTTTCATATTCTCCTTCTTGATTTCTTGATTTTTTTAGACTAGAGGCTCCCTTTGGTTACTTTTCTTTTTATATATATATGTATATATTTTCTCTTCTTTTTTAACCTCAATTACATTTTCCTGGGAGGAGCGGGAAAGTGAGAACTAAGAAACTTTGTAACACTGCCAACTAGAGGCTTGAAAATATTTTACTTGAAGTGGAGAGAACTGTGAAAGACTCCTTCTCAAGGACATTTCAACTTGATAAGATAGAGGGAAGAGCGTGGCAGAATATTATTACAGGTGTTCTTCTGGATTTCTATCAACAATTTAACACTTGAAGTTTGGCTTTGAAGCTTGTGGAGAAGAGAGTCATAATAAGAGCCTTGGATAATTAAACAAAGTGCAGTGTGTTTTCTTATCTTCTTTTAGTTGTGTTACCCCTCCTTACCAGCTTTATTGTAAACTTTTATTTTTGCAATATTTTTATTTTTGCTTTTTATTTTAAAGGGAAAGCCTCAGAATTTTTCTCCTTTTCTTTTTTTCCTTTTTTCCACTGGGATTTTTGCTTCTTCCATCCATGTTCTTGGACTATTTTGGTTTCTTTTTATTATTGAGATTGTTTTAACCGGATTAAGGTGTGAAGAACCTGAAGAAATTTTTCTTTTGTTTTATTCTTTTTTTCTCATTATCATTGGGCTTTTTCCTTCTTTTTATTTTTATCCTTTATTGTGGATTATAATTGATTATTTCATAATTGGATTAGGGTCCAGAAGAACCTGAAGAATTTTCTTTCTTTTTCTTTTTTCCTTTTTACCATTGAGCTTTTTTACTATTGGGCTTTTTACTCTCTATTATTTTTATTTTTCATTTTGGATTATAATTGGCTACCTTACCAACTGGATTAAAGTTTAAAAGAACTTGAAGGTCTTGAATTGTTCAAAATGAGTAGGAAACTCATACCTTCTGGCGTCTCTACCTCTACTTCTGCCTCCCCACTATCTGGAGGACAACGTTTAATCCAGACAATGTTAAAGCAAGATAAAGAAAAAGAAAAAGTGACTTTACAGATGATTATGCAAGGAATCCAAGATCTCAAGTTAAAATCAGATACTATTGAACAAAGAATAGAGAACATTGAACAAAGAACAGGGAAGACCAATGAAAAAGTTGAAAATATTCAACAAATGATGGTGAAGTATGATGAGAGATTCCAAAAAATCGAAGAAGAAAGTAAACAAAGAGAGAAGAAGATTGGAAATATTGACAGCAGACTAACAGTGGTCGAATAAGATAAAAGTGGGATGCTGAAGTGGGAGATAGAGAGGTCAGAATTCTATCTCAGATTTCAAAACATAGAGGAAGAAAAAGGACAAAATTTGGCTGCGATAATGATAGAAATTCTGGCTGATGCTTTGGAAATAACAGAGGAAAAGATGATGAATGGAGTAGACGAAGTATACCGAGTTTTCACAAGATATGCGATGAGAAATAATTTACCAAGAGAAGTCCACATCAGATTTACCAAAAAATCCATCAAAACACAAATATTACAAATGGCAAGAGAGAAGACGTTGAAATACAAAGACAAGGAAATTGTGGTTTTAAAACAAATACCCAGAAGAGTGAGAGAGATGAGAAGAGAATATCGATTCTTGACTAAAATGCTACTGAAAAAGGAGGTGAATTATAGATGGCTGATTCCAGAAGGACTAATGTTTACATGGCAAGAACAGAGACACAGAATTGATTCAATTGAGAAAGCAGAACTTTTTTACGCAGAATTTTTTGGAAGGAGAGAGGAAGAGGCAGAAAAAGAGGTCTCATTAATTGAATTCCAAGAGGAACAAATGGGGACTGAAAAAGAAGAAGGCGCAGTAGGTGGACAGGTGGATATCAAAGAACAACGTGAACCAAGATCTACGAGAGCTGTCAAACCTAACTACAAAATATAATCATGGAAGAGAAAAAACTGATTACAATGAATATAAATGGACTTAATTCAGCTGTTAAAAGAAGGAAAATTTTTCATAAATTAGAGAAATTAAAATTTTATATAATTTGTTTACAAGAAGCACACATTAAAAAACAACATGAACAATTGTTAGTACAGCCAAAATTAGGGAAAATATTCACTTCTTTGACTCAATGTAAGAAAAGAGGAGTGGTTTTATACATTAAAGAGGCTACCCCAGAAAAATTGATTTACACGGATGAAGATGGAAGAGTATTAATGGTGGAAATAATGGACAATAATATAAAAATACTCTTGATTGCAATTTATGCTCCGAATGATAAACAAGAAGAATTCTATAAAAAACTACACATGAAAATAACTGGACTGGACTATGCCAATATAATTATGATGGGAGATTTTAATGGAATTGTGGACAATAAACTGGACTATACAGCAACAACAGCAAAGCAAAATAGAAAGATTCTCCCTAAATCCTTTTTTAAAATGACAGACGAATTAACCTTAAAAGATATATGGAGAGAAAGAAATGCTAAAACCAAACAATACACTTTCTATTCAAATAGACATTTATCATGGTCCAGATGATAAATGATCTGGATCTCAACAGAATTAATATCTATTATTCAAGAAATAAATATTGAAATAAGTACCCAATGACAATTAAATGGAAGGGACAAAAAAAAAAAAGATTGAGATGGACGTTAAATAATACTATCTTAAAGGAAAAAGATTTTATACAATGGATTGAGAAAGAACTGGCTTTTTTCTTTAGAGAAAATAAAAAAGAAGATACTTCAGAAACATTCAGAATGTTTGGGATACAATGAAGGCATATGCCAGAGGCTTGATAATAGATTACATAAGAAAAAAGAATATCAGGAAAAGGCAAGCCACTAAAGCCTTGGAAGACGAGTATAAAAGACTTGAAAAAGAATTACAAAAAATGCCACAGAAAAAGATATTAAATTGAAATTAGACATAATTAAACATAAAATGGGTCTAATAGAGAAAGAAGAACTGGCACAAAACTTGCCTTTTCCGATGACTGAGATGGTTCTGCCTTGGTAGTCACGTAGGGTTAACTGGCAGCCGTGAAGCTTCTTCTTAGCCATTCTGGGAAGTAGTTGTTTCAAGGTGCTCCATGAGATGATGGACAATGCTGAGCCTGTGTCAACCTCCATCCTGCAAGGTTTCCCTTCTATAGAAACAAAAACACTGATTTTGTTAGAGCCTTTGTTAGTCAGCTTGGCTTGATAGCAGTTAAAACAGTCTTCAACTTGTTTTTGGAAATGTTGGGTTGTCTGAGGCTTTTGGGCAAAAGTCTTTCCTGCTTGACAGATCCTGGCTAAATGACCCTTCCTCTGGCATTTTAGACAAATGGCATTCCTGAACTTGCAGGATGTCCTGAGGTGGCTTCCCCCACAGCTTAGACAAATGGGCTGAGGCTATGGAGGTAGATTGGGGTTTGGCCTGTTCAATTTACATCATTATCCTCTTCATAGCCTTCTTCTGTGGAGGCTTCATCGTAATGGATGGCTGAGCTGCTCTGGATAATTGGATTTCCCTGAATTTCTGCTGCTGAAAGTGCTTATAGTTCAGCAGCTTGAGACTCTTCAATTGCTAATTTAAGGGTTAAATCCTCTTTAGCCAATATACACTTTTGTAGCCTTAAATCCCTGACTCCACAAATTAGTTGATCTAATAACATGTCTTCCAGATAGTCTCTAAACCCACAATGCAAGGCAGCTGTTCATAGGGCAGCCATGTACCCACTAATAGTCTCTCCCTCAGCCTGAATCCGTCTCCTAAAAGCATGACGCCTGGCAATTCGGGATGGCTTAGGGGAATAGTGGTTGGAAAGAATTTCCTGCAATTCTTCCCATGGAACAGTCTTAATTGAACGTGGAGCCAATAATGCCGTAGCAGTGTCAAACACTGTGGCTCCGCAAAATCTTAGAAAGTAGGACTTTTTCCTATGGTCGGAAATGTCAGTGAAGTCTATGGCATCTAGGAAACAGCCAAATCGGGTTCTGTAGGATTCCCAGGTTTTTGCTGTCGGTCTGAAAGGCGGGAATGCAGGATTTGAAATCATCTTGACTCAGCAGTGCCGGAACTTCCGAGGAAAATTGAAATTTGCGCTCGCGAATAGTGACAGTAAGCTCTTAAAGTGACATTCAGCTCGGTAGTGACTTCGGCTCTTTTTTGTAGTAATTTTGCTTAGCGATTCTTTACCCGGTTGCCTCTTATATGTATCCCACCCTTGTCGCCAGTGTTGTAGAGCGGCGGAATAACCTGAGGCAAACACGGAGTGAAATTCAGCTTTTACTTTATTGTAACAATAAAGAGTTGCCACGGCTGCCACGCTAACAAGGGAGCCAGCTGGCGGACAACAGCTGATGCCGTTTGACAGCTCCCTTTTATAGCCGGCTGTCAAACAGCATCAGCCAATAGGAATGGTCCATGTTCCCGCTGGAAATACGGACCAGAGTGAAGACTTCAGCTCAGTCTTTTCCAAATGCCACATGTCTGATCTTAATTAGCTCTTTTTTTGAGATCAGACAAGTTTACCAGGTGCTGGACATTTGTTTATAAATAGGAATAGGGAAAGTTTTCATTACTTTGTGAAGAAACCATCCTGTTGTAAATAGTTCTCTTTTTGAACATATTCTCTGTTTGAAAAATAGTTCAGTTAAATAAGTTAATAGGTCAGTTTAAAGGCCAGGAATGGTATTAAAATCAGGGAGCCATGAAACTATTAGCATTTAGCATTTAGATACCAGACTGAAGTCATTTGATCTGTTAAATATAGCATCTTCTAGAACTATTGTTGTGTCAATATATAGTGAAATCATTCTGCATTATAAAGTGCAGAAATATACAATCCTTTGGTCATCTATGAGAGTATTACAGATGATCCTGATTTAGATGACAATATATTTTACCCAAACCTATCAGAACACTAAAATCTACAAAATGTCTCTGTTTGCCCAAATCTTACAAGATTTCAGATGGGCAAGCTTGTGATATTTTGGGCCAGTTAGTTATGTTTTGAAGTTTGTATGGTTTACTAATCCTCTCTATGCCATAACTCACATAAGCAGGTCATATCAGTGGGATGTAAGGAACAATGATGTAAGATGAAAACGATTATAAATGGTGACTGAAATAGAAAACTTGTGACATTATATAACATTGATAAGAAAATTGGCATACAGCTGAAATACAATTGCATTTTCTGTTCAATTTTACTGAATGCTATATTTAAATGAAAAAATACTAAATTTATGGATGCTAAATATGGAAGATTTTATTTTCCTTTCAGCTAGAGAATGGTGGCGATATGGCCTTTCAGGCAGACTTTAACACCCAAGCAGTGAGATTTGGTCTTTTGCTCAGGAAGGTAAGCTGTGAAGAACTTGCTAAAATAAGTGGGAGAAATGACAAAATGCAGTCAACAAAATCTCTTACACAATCTTCCAGGGCAATATCGATGGTAATAAAGTGCATTGCTAAAATCCAAGAAACAGACTGTAATACAATGTATCCCTAACTTCTGTACACTGTAGAAATCACCTCACCTATAATTGGCAAATAGAAGGTGGACGATAGAGATCATACTGTAACATGCAGATGCAGGGAAGGCCATTGGGATTTTAATTCTGTTGTTAACAAAAAAGAAAAAAATCATTTTGATAGCAACCAAGTTTATGGAAGCTTTAAAATTCATTTGCTTTTATCATAATTCTACCCAAAGATATTCAAAAATTCTTGTATATGTACAAATTAAATGTACACAAGTTATAACTACATGTACCCGATTAAAGAATAAATCCATTAAATTGATGCAACTGACTTCTGCTTAAACACATATAGGTTTGCATTGCAATGATTTTACAATAATGGGAATATTATATTGCAATACTATACTAGATATATCTCTTAGAAGTCCTATTGAATTTTGGTGGGATTACTCTAAAGAAAAATAAGTATTTTAATCTTAAGCACATGCTCAATTCTGTCATGGAACTGAATGAGACATCAAAATGTTCAGGTTTGGTTAGTTTCTGTATTTTTCTCCTTTTTCTAACAATAAAATTTTTGAAAAATCTGGAATATTTACAAACTACTACTGTAGATATACAAATACAAATGTAATATATACATGTATGGAATCTCAGTTAATAGATTGTATTATTTATGGACAATGAAACTGAAAATAAGTAGTATTTCACTGTTCTAAAAATCCTTAACAAGGATTAGTAAAAAGAAGCAAAGAACAAAGCAAATTCTCCTGGAGTGAATTAATGAGGCATTAATGAGTTATTTATTCCTCATAACTGATCCTTTTCTGATATTTTAAGACACTGGAATAGTGGGCCTTTATATACATACATTAACTTGCTGATTATTTCAGGAACCAAGATATCATGCAGAGATAATTTCCATTTATGGATTCTTCTTTGAGCTAAAAGCAATAAAACATGATGCTTCAGCGTACAGTTTTTACATGAAAGTAAGAACAGCATTTCTATGATTCTTGAGGTTCAAAGTAATACTCGGACTTTAAGTCCTATTTATTTCTTTTTGAAAGTATTGTGCAGTCTGTAGGCGATTGGCATCTATACCCAGAAGGGTAACTTCAGCTATTTTGATTCATGTTGACAATGGAGGATGAAAACATATTCTCACATATTAAAGAATTAGTTGAGGAACAATGGCCTGTATATATTTACCTGAAAAGAAATAATTTAACTGCTTAGTATTGGTGGTTTTGCCTCTTTCATGAACGGGTAGTCCTTGACTTACAACAGTTCATTTAGTGACTGTTTCAAGTTACAACAGCCCTAAAAAAGTGACTTATGACTATTTTGCACACTTACAATCCTTGCAGCATCCCCATGGTCACTTGATCAAAATTCAGACGTTTGGCAGTATCTCAAGGTCGTATGATTCCACCTTTGCACCCTTCTGACAAGCAAAGTCATTGGGGAAGCCAGAATAACTAACTACCATGTTATTAACTTAACAAGTGCCGTGATTAACTTAACAACTGTGGCAAGAAAGGTCATTAGATGGGTAAAAGCAACAGAAATTTTGGGCTCAGTTGTGCTGTCAAAGTGAGGACTACCTGTACTAAGTTCCATGTTAAGATTCTTTTTTTTTTTAATTTAATGAATTCTGAAGAAAAGATTGGGAGAGGAAGATGCATCTAGCAGGCTAGAGAGAACATTTTGTAGCATCAAATGATTTTCAACATCAATTTAAAAAAAATGAGCTAGATTATACATTCAACATAAAGAAAAACACAAAGAAGATTATTTCTTTACGATTTTTGGCAGTAAGAAGGAAAGAAATAATGGAGGCTTGCTGAAGAAATACATTTTTGGCAAAAAGTATTCATTTATTTTATAGGCTGTCACATGGGAAAATGTCTTGGTAGTTATGTTTAATTCATGTCTAGATAGCTAGATATTTGCAGATCCAATAAGGCCACTTTCCTTACTCAAATGCTCTCCAGATAAGTTGCCAAAAATTCTAGGAATTAAATGCAACTTATCTTAAGAGTGTCATATTGGACAATACTGACGTGTGCTTCTCTTGAAGTTCTGTATTGTGTAATCAAGGTGTGTAGGAGGCTGAATCTGCAGCTGGTCCTCCGTGACCCCCAATGATTTCCTCAGCTGATCTGTTGTTCCAACTGAAGAACTGACTCAGGCCTTAGGTTTACACCTTGGTGTGTAGAGATGATTGGTTTTGCCTGGTCATATGACTCAGGATGTCCCATGCTAAAAAAGGGCCCTAGGCAGCATTAGAGAAAGAGAAGTTTCATACTATTTTCCTCTCCTGGTCTTTGTTCCTATCGCTCTGCTTAATCTCCCCCTTCCCTTGCATTTCTTGCCAAAATAATTTCTAATAAAAAAGCAGTTCATGAAGCCCTTAAACAATGCTAGTGGAGTGACGATAATCTATCCTACGATAGGGTTTTGGTTATTGGTAAAGGTTTTTGAATAACTTCAGCAAATAACTCAGTGAGCAAAGAACTGAATTGAAACCCTCCCCCCCTGTCATTTCAGAGAGTCAGACATGCAGATCCAATTATCTCTTATTTTACTGCTGACCGCAGTCCTGTCAGTTTACAGAAAGAACGGGAAGTTAAGTATGAAATAAAAGCACAGTGCCAAATAGATGGAAAGTGGGAAGAATTCACCACAGAAAGGGTCACTCAAAGCTTTGGAGTTAAGAAACCTTCTTCTAAAAGCCAGGTGAGGAAAAAGCAAAAGAAACTTACTAATTACTTTAAAATGTTTTTGGCGGTAAACACTAAAATCAGGCTAGAGCTTCAGTAATCTGTTGGTCCGGAGAAGCATAGTTTCTGGGTTATTTAAGAAAAATAACTTTGTAAGCAAAGGCCTAGATTATAATGAACCGTGATCTAAGGATTATATGGGAATAAATTGCAAGACCAAAAAAAGGTACTTAGACCATATGTTTGGGCACATTTTAAACAATTACAAAATATTTGTGTAAACATGTGAAATAATTATAATGCACTTCTCAATTAAAATGTCTTAGATGGTTTTGAACAATAAATTAGAATTAGGAACAGACAATATAAATTCACAAGATGAAAAGAAATCAAGATGAGATATGTTTAAAACATGCCTAGTTACATTTGATTATTTAAATAAGCTTTTGTATGTTGCCTCATCCATTGATTTGGTGACTTACTATAAATGAAGGAAAAGGGATTCATCCAATCACAAGATCTGCAAAAGATTTGTGAAATCAGGAATAATCCATAAGAGATAAAAAGATAAATACAATTAAAAAAACCATTTCTGCCCTTAAGATAAGTTTGACCTCCCCCCAAAAGGAGCTTTATTCACTCTTTCTTTAACAACGTGATTTTGCTTTTTGAGTGGGGGCTCAAAGGTCTCAAGGTCCCAACCCTATTAAGATGGGCATCTGAGCTTTCTCTATTTCTTAGATCAGGGATCCCCAACTCCCAGTCAGCAGCCCAGAGCTGGTCCACAACCCTTTGGGAACAGGGCTTCACAAGCAATGGGCGAGCATGCAAAGCTCCATTTGCCCAAGCAGTGTGTGTGGGGACAAAACCATCCACTTTCTGCCATTGCTGCTGCTGGTCTGTGGAGCCAGAAAAGTTGGAGACTGCTCTCCTAGACCATGTGTAGTCTCTATGGTAATTCAAGCTTATGAAGTACTAAGAAATCATCAGGGTAAAATAAGGCAAGTTTCCCATATGAGGAAGTTCTGTCAGGAACAAAGAAAGTTCATTAAAGTTAAAATGAAAAGAAACAAGTCTTTAAATCAGGAGTGTCCAACCTTGGGAACTTTAAGACCAGTGGACTTCAACTCCCCAGCCAGTCACTTCTGTTTTAGATATTTCTTTCTAGGCAAGCAAAATAAATATTTCCAAGTGTATCTCATTTTCTTTTTTTCTCTTTTCCTTCTAGCAAAAAAGAAAATCAATGTTTGTCTTATGGGTCCCACAAGTGAATATGTGTTAACCCTTTCTCTTTTCCCCCCCACAAACATAGATCTTGAAAGCAAGAATACCATCAGTTCCCATCTATGTGACATTTTTGCTTCTTTTCCCACCATCTTAAAAGATCACATCTGTTCTTCCATCAATGAACTCCTTCTGACATCTAGCAAACAGATAATTAGAATTGGAGATGTTCTGGCAGATGACTACAGTTTCTATAGCATCAAAATAAACTCTACCCTCTCTCGTCATATTCAACTCACTGGGCCATTAAACTTATCTACATTCTGCTTTTGACTAATGTTGCAAATAGCTTGACCTTCCTAAACCAGGTACCTCTCGATATGATTGACATATTGACTGGGAATGCTGAAATATGTAACCAAGATCTAACAATCTGGCAGTAGCACATTAGGGAAACCTGGTTCATGTCTCCTTAAGCATGTATTGGTCCCCGACCTTTCTGTCTTGGTGGGCTCAGTGGATGGGAGAGCTGGTGGTTCTGTGTGAGTGACAGGTGCTCGTGTGAACATGCACAGCTCCATTTGCGCAAAGGGAAGCTGTGCATACCCATCGCTCATACCAATGAACTTGCGTGTGCTCACACAAGTACCTACTGCTTGTGCAAGTGGAGCTGCTCCCGCTTAAATGAGCCACTGCCTGGTAGTGGGCCACAACCCGTGGGTTGGGGACCGCTGTTGTATTCCAATCAGTGGTAAGGTCCTAATTAGCAAGTAAAGGACCTTCATGTGTACAAGAAATTTAATTTAGTTTTCTTCTCTCATTTTATCCAGATGGCCTGCAGCCCACTTCACTGTGATTCCCATAAATAGTGGTGATGAAGCAATAAGATTACCATGCCAACCCACTCCAGCTTCCCTCCCACTGCACAAATTCCACAGGAAGCACACAAAAAATTGTAGATGATTCCAGATGAATATACAATATGCATGATTCATGACAATTAGAGCAGATGTTGATATTATCCTTTAACCATCAGATCATGTTTTACCTGTTTTCTCCCCTTTTTAATCTTAACAATTCTAAGGCAGAAAAACTCAGCACAAATCTTCACAGGAGTAGATATGTTCCATCAGGCTCTCATCAAATTGCAGTTGGTTAAGAAATGGCTGTTTTCCTTTCCTTTATTCTCTGTTGCTTTGGAGAAATTGGACACCTATTGAAATTTCTGTATAGATTTTTCTTTATACAGGTGGTCCTCAACTTACAACTAGCACAATGACCATAATGACTTACAACCAAAATTCCGGGGCCAATGGTGGTCTCAAGTCAAGGACTACCTGTATATAAATTGTTTCAATATATACACTCTTTATAGAATTTTTAATGGATTTTAATTAAAGTTTTATTCATCCTTTGGAGATAAATCAAGAACAAGCTTGTTCTCCTGTATTTAAATAACATGCAAATGAAAAACACCCACTCATAGAAAAGCATGTGTTTCAGTACTGCAGTAATTGTGTGTGTGTGTGTGTGTGTGTGTGTATGTGTAGATAATTGTTGATAACCACCAGTCCTTTGAGACTACTTCCCAGTTAGTTTTGGAATAAAAATAGATCATTGGTTGAGAAAACAAGGGTGGGAAGAAATCAGATCACACAGCTAATATTTTTTTCATACACATGGTTAACCATAGTTCACTATTTTCATCACCATTCTGAAAAGTAAATAAGTGTTGTTCTTAGACATCCTTAACATACAGTAAAATGAGAACTCTGTTTCTTAGTAAAGTAATAGTAGTTACAAGTTGGAGAAAACACGAAAGAGATTTTAGGTTTGGCTTAATGTATTATTGAACCAATTGCACTTTATAGGTTGTAGTAAAGGTAGATACCTATGGTGGATCTACTGCATACACCTCCTGAAGTCCCATTTCATAGTTCCTGGTTCCCTCCAGACAATTTATTAAATTGTCATTTGTCTGCAGTCAAATATGACTATTAATCGTTATATATTTTATATTACATCTGATCCCACAGCTAAAAACTAGGGAGGCATACTATCACCCATGTTTTGCATGTCACAGTTTTCATACTGAATTTTGGTACCTCCAATTACCTTTGGAAAGCTTCAGGTACCAGGTACCAGATGATATAAAAGATCTTTACTTGAGACTCTGGAAATCTGCTGCCACTGACGCTATTCATTATTTTCTTAGATGGGTGAGTAATCTGACCTGATACAAAGCAGTGTCCTTACCATGACTATTTCTGTCAAATAGTCTTTAAAAAATTAGGCTATTTGGGTACGTATAGATATTCAGGGTATGTTTCTTCTGCAGCAATAAGCAAGCCTTCAGTTGTGGTTGCCATTATTGATGGCATCCCATGATTGTTGGGCAAGGCAACTTCCTTCCAGCTTCCCGCAACCAAAACCAGTGGAGAAGCCAGCAGGAGGTTGCAAGTCCCAGACCAGCAGAAAGTAGTGACTGTAGCTGGGTGGCAGTGGGAGCTAGGAGCTACATATGGGGGAAATGGGAGAGAGTAAGGAAGGTATACAAAGTGCAAAAGAGGGTCAAGGAGAGTACACGACAGTGCAAAGAAAGGTTGGGCAGGGTGTGTTAATTGCCGGCTTAGCAGAAATGCAAAGGAGCTGGAACAGACTGTGCAGGTGGGAGAGATTTACCCCAGCAAGATGCAACCTTCCCTATCGGCTTTGTCATTAGCTTTCTTGGGAAATCGGCAAATGAGGATCGGGTAATCATGGGGTACTTGGCAAACTGTTGTAAGGGTCAACTGGTTGCCAAACATTCAGATTGTGATCCCATGAGCACCATGGGATGGGGTGGATAGAATTCTGAGGACCAGTCATAACTCCCTTGGTTCAGCGCCAATTTCAAATGGTTGATGAACCAATGGTCATAGGCTGAGAGCTACTTGCATTATTTTTTAATTTTACTCTCTTGATGAAGCACAACAGGCACATTTAATTAAATTCCATAATACAGAGAATTTTGCTTTGCTTTTTAAAAGTACAGAATGGGCATGCCCTATGATTAATAAACTGCCTTAAAAGTAGATAAAGACAGTCTACTTTTACTGAATATTAATGCAAGTAGTCTCCTTTATCCAATTAACAAATTGTAAAGCAACTTCAGTTTTCAGGGCAACAACAAGAACTTGTATGCTTGAATGTCCTTTCCTCGTTTGGCAAGTTCTGAAACAATATGTGAAATGGGAAGGCAGAAAGTGCCTACAGCTATGGAAAGTTCAGGCATATCCATCTCTTACATACTTCATGAATAAGCTTTCAAATCTTCTGCACAGTGTTTGAATCTGGGCAAGCTGTAGATGGGCATCCAGAAAACAGGAAGCGCATTCTTGCTGCTGGGCCTTTTCTTTAATGGCACTTGATGCAAAAGACTCCTTCAAAGCTGCTTTGCAAAGTAATAGGGCACCTTCCTGCCCCCCACCCTCCAAAAAAACCCCAAGACAGGCTGGCTAATGATACAGTTCTAAGGGCAATGAAGAATTTCTGGTAGCATCAAACACTATGAAAAAGTATATATAAAATTAGGGCTTACAATAAATCATAATATGATTGATGTGATTTTAATTTGCTATATTATATAAATTTTTGTGGCTGGGAAGATAATTATTTTTGGTTTAATGTATACCATGAACCTGTCTAATAGACACTGATGAATGGTAGTTAAGCAAAGCATTATTACTACAATTGATAAATGCACAGGGTACACAAAACTCACTTTCTCTTCAGTGGAGAACAGGGATAGCTAATGACCAATTAGCACAACCAGTGGTTTGATACACACATCATGCTTAATTATAGTTTGTTGACTACAGCAAGCTAGCACAATATGTTAAAACCAGTCACTTAATTTGTATTTGTGGCAAGTACTGAAGAAGGATGGCATTGCTGGTTAGCCAGAAAACAGTCTAAGCTTTTCTTTAAAAAAAAAAACAACAACAGCAAAAGAATTGACATTAAAAAAAACAAAGTTAATCTAAAAATTCAAAGTAGCAAAAGGAGAAAAGAAAAAGAAGTAGATTCTTAAACTCTTGCAAAAATAATTTGCTTTCGCCCTTGACTTTCACCTTGGTCCTGTCAGCAAAACACCTACACACCAAGAAATACAAAGGTCAGGATCATGATTTGTATCAGGTAACAATAATAAAAATACCCATGGAGTCAAAACGTGGGTGTTACAGGAAACATGGTCAACATGTCAGCAAAGTTAAATACAGGAAGCATGATGCAACTCCTGTGCCTGGGAGGAGGAGGAGGAGGAGGGCGGGAGAATCTTTCTGTATTTGCAAACAAAGAGCTTAGGGAGAAGAGCTTAGGAAAAACACTCACCAGCACCACCAAACTGTTTGAAAAAGATGGATGCTATAAAATCAGCCTTGTGGAAGGTGAAGAAAAGGCTGCAAATGTTTTGACCACTCCCCCCACAAAAAACTGGACTATTTCAGTTAACAATTCTATTCTTAGACAAGATGTGGAAAGAAATAACATTCAGCTGGTTTACAAGCCATGAGGGTACTTTGCAATTGAAAAAAAAATAACATGCTTTTGACTGTTTTAAAAACTTTGGTTGGACAGAAGAAAAGAGAACCATAACAGGAAAATAAGCCAAAGAGAAGTAAAAGCTCTTTACATTTTACACATGGAAAAATGAAGTCAGATCAGATGAGCGTCCCAAGAAAGACAACGCAGTATGTAGAGTGTCACTTTTGTAAATTTATTCTGTAAGAGTTCTCTGAAGCAGATCAAAGCACTGAGGTGACTGAAATGGGAAAATTATTCTTTTAAGATCCCTGGTTCCACACTGTAAGTTCTTGATGTTAAACACTAGCCTTTGGATATGTGTTTAGAACCAGATCAGGAGGCATTCAGTCCCTTAAGTACCAGAGAAATATTTTCTTTTCTTTCAGCCTTCAATTAATAATCTTACAGTTATATTTTTTTTTTCCAGAGCCAAGTGGTTTTCAAATAGTGTTTAAAGCAGCTCAAGATACAAAAGAATATGGATAAATGTCTAGGTCAACTGTATGTTTGTATAATTTCAATGCCAAGATTATTTACAATAAATTGGAGAATGAATTGATTATCGGATAGAATTTCTGCATACCAACCTTCTAATATTGATTGCGCACAGCAGACATTGTAACCAAAATGTTTCTGCTGTATTTCAGATTCCTGTTGCTAAGAATGAATGGAATTAACCCAATAGA